CCTGAGGTGTCCTGTATGCACCCTGGGTCAGCCTCAGTGGCCTGGAGGGGCCGGTGCTCTTCTTCCCCCCCCCACTTGTAAGAGAGATGGAGCTGGCAGGTCACAAAGTTAATTTAGTAGATCACCAGCTATCATTAAAAAGGAAATCACAGAATAGGAAACTTGGAGCATGTTGTGTATAGTGAGGGAAAGTTGGGATAGTGACCTTCCTGTGCGTGTGTGCACACACTCACATGTTCACACATGTAGATACTCGTAAGTGCACGTGTGACCCACGCCATTCCCAGGCCTGTCCCATGGTTGGGTGCCGCCGCTTGTGTGTGTTTCCTGCAGGTGCCAGGTCTCCCAGTAGCTCGGCCTGCTGCCACGGACATACCCGCAGCTGCCTGGTGATAGTCCTGCTGTCCTGGGTGTCTGAGGATTTGAATTCTTTATCATCTGATGTGGGTCTGACATGAAGGGCTTCTACATACCTACCCTTCACCTTCCTGCCCCACATTTTAAGACACTCCCATCTGTACTCACCCCAAAGGGCCAGCCTAGTGTCACACACCTGGGAGCACTGATGTCTGGCACTCAGTACCCTGTGTTCGTGCAGGTTTTGAAAGCTGCACGGTTCTGGAATGCATTTACCTCTGTGGGAAAACCCACCTGTGCAGTAACAGAGGGCAGCCACCCACATCCTAAGCAGAGAACTCTGAAAGGAGATTTCCCAAGCTAGTTTTTACTGGACTGCAGCATACCAGGGTGCACACCAGTGTGCCCGGCGAGAGTCAAGCTGAAGTGACCAGACTCTTACCTCATTGCTGCCTGCCATTTCTGTGTGCCACACATTGCTAGGTGCCCCACATGTGTGACAGCGTCTTGCACTTGGCTTGGATCAGGTGAGGGCCAGCCAGGCTCTGGGCTGCTTGTGCACTGTCTACTGTCTGCACCTGCGGCTCAGGAGGGAGATGTGAGTCCTTGCTAGACACGTGTCCAGGGCACAAGTTGCTGTCACAGAGAGGCTGGAGCGAGTCGGGTGTGGGCGCCTAGAGCACTGCCACAGCCTTCTTCTCAGATGCCTGTCTTCTAATTCTCCCTGCTCTCTTAGTGTTTCTCCCCTTGCCTGCTGTCCTGCCCACACCTGCTTTCACTTTTATTCTGCTGCTTTCTTCTCTGTCTGGCCTGACCATCTTGGGTGCTGTTGAAGACTACCATGTTTCCAAAGTCTAGACTTCCCAGAGGTTTGAAGCATGAGTTTACAGTGACTTGATAAATTTTAGCCATGTTTAAAATGAGATTTTCAACTCTATAATCAAAGCGCAATAAAATGTGAATGTTTGAAGTGTACAGTTTGAGTATATGTAATATACCCATGTAGCACTAAAACTAAAGAAACAGTGAGAAGGCACAGGAAGAAAAATAAAGCCATTCAGCTAAATACAGTTCAGAAATACGTGCAAAACGACTGTGGACAAAAGCCAAAAAGACAGACTGGCATGCTATAGAAAACATGTGCCATCCACTCGAACAAGAGCGACTTTCCATAACAGTCACCCAGTAAATTGATTGAGCCATCCCATTGGCTGGCGATCCAGGAGGAAAAATGCAAAAGGGTGTGAACACTGACTGGAAAGGATTCTGTGCACATGGAAACTGCCCTGATGTGGCTCCTGTGTCCTCTGGCTGCCGGTGGGTCCCTTCCCCAGGGAGTTCCCAATTACTGGCAGCCCCTCCCGGGACTTTTCGAAACAGCTCCCCCACCAGTGGGTGTCACAGCTGTGCTGTGTCTGCATATCACTGTCCTTTAACCCTGCCCCTGCCTCGGTAAGTAGTCTGTGGTCCAGCGCTCTCTTCCTTGAGTGGCCAGCTGCTCGACCCATGCTCCACTTGTGAAAACTTGTTAGCTCAGTGGTGGTGGCTGTGCAGGGACACAGGTGCTGGCAGAGGTTGTCAAAGGAGTGGAAATTGCACCACCTCTTGGAAGGCCACTTTGCAGTGTCCGTGAAGATGAGGACATGTGCTGTGTGACCCAGAAACTGCGTGCATAGAGTTCAGCACACAGATGCCTGGACACGAGAAGTTTTTCAGTCCTTACTGTTACAGACACAGGATCGGTGGTGGTGGTGTGTGTGTGTGTGCGCACACAGTAGGGTCCCCATGATTGTTAAAAGCATCAGTAAGATGTCGCTGCATTGATTGTACAGATCAGGGCAAGCCATGCCTCTGTTGTGTTAGATGGAGGGTGGGTGAGAGGCAAGCAGACAAGCTGGCGCAGCAGCTGCCTACACCACAGGACTGAGGACTGAATTGGACAGAGATGAGAAGAGGACCTTCTTCAGTATTTTGCAGATCCGTCTAGGGACAGAATTCAGTGTGAAGCTGTGGGAAGTACCTCCTGAATTTTGGGTTTGCTGTCATTAGTTTATCAGTTTGGTTGGTTGGGTCTGAAAGGACCATCTCTGCTGCCCGCTGGGCTTTGTCCACCCACTGGAAGCTGAGCACTTAGCCTCGCTTATGCTCATGCCACAGCCTTTCCAAAGTCCAGGTAAATTCGGATCTCCTACCTGCATGTGGCTTGAAACCTGGACAAGTCACAATAAGCAGAGGCTGCTCTTTTCTTGTGGACCTCCGTCTGAGCACAGTGTGGCCCCCATGCCTAGCCTGTACCTGCTTTCTCTCCCGCTGTTACCAGTCAGGGAGCACGGCCACACAGGGCATGGCTTCACTCAAGGATTATAAGTCTCCGTGGTCCTTCAGTACCAACAGGAGCCACGAATGTCATCCTGTTCCATGTGGTGACAGTGGCCCTGTGAATTGTGGGTCCTTGAGAGTTTGGGAGGGAGAAAAGTAAGATTTTTTTTTTTGTTGTTTCTTAGAGAAATAAAAAGGAGCCCATGAACGAGTGGGAACTGGTGGGTAGGCTTCCAGCCTCGCACACATCTCTGCATGTCTTTTAAACATCCTGCTGCTGAAATGTCGAAATGCATTCGGTCGTCTTAATGAAAAGGCTTGTTGTGTTTTCCTCTGTGGTGTGGGGTGGGGGAGTGTCTGCGTTAACCTTCAGAGGTCAGAAGACTGGGTCTCTTATTAGTCGTGACAATAAACTGCTTCTAGCGGTAGGAGAAGTGGAAATGCTGACTTCATGTTGGTCATAAAAGAGCCTCTTTCACGCAGCCATCCCCTTGTGGGGACTCATCCCCTTGTGGTACGGCTGTCCAGGGCCTTGTCCTGCTTAGGAAGCGTGCCCCTGTCTGCTTCAGTATTTCTGCATGTGTAAATTAGATGAAGGAAGCACAAAAAGGAAGAAAATGAGGCTAAACTCATTTAGCCTCAAAAATCTAAAAAGCAGCCCCTCCCAAGTTGTAGAATGATAGAGGTCACTGACAAGGTGTGGTGTGTTCAGGCCACACCACTGTGAGCCATCAAAACGAACACTTTGACTCTGAGAGGCTCACATACATGACCCTAATTAAAAGTGGGTGCACACATTATTCCCATTTTGTAAGCGAGAGAAGTGAGGCTCTATGCCGAGGTCCCAGAGCAGGTGGCACTGGGTCCCATCCCAGTTGAGCCTGCTGCCCAGGACTACTGCGCTTTCCCACCATTTTCACAAAGCTCACTGACAAAAGGCACCTCTGCTGGTGTATAGGCATGGCTGGGGTGTCTGAGGTGCACAAAGGACCGAGTTGGGACAGAAAGGAGGGGTACAGGCATTCGGGGGGCTGCCTGGGTTCTCACACCGGAGCTGGATGGGGATTCAGTAACCTGGCGCTTCCTCTCTTCGGTGCAGTTTAAAGAGCTGGCTCCTCTGGGCACTGTTCTCTGGTCTTTCTGCTCTGACTGTTCTAGGGGCTGTGCCTGTCTTTCATGGTCTGCACAGGAAGGAACTTTTCGTTGAAGATGTGGGATTATGCAGCCCTGACCTTCCCTTCTGCTCTCATAGTCTCTGTGCCTCTGGCACAGAGGGCATGAGTGTGTGCTAACGCTTCTGGACCTCCTTCCCCAGCCATTCTCAGGAACCCCTGGTCTCTGTGCACTGTTAGGAAGATGGATTACTCCCAAAATAAATAATTTGTTTCTCTCCTTAATTATTTACACATAAATCTGTTTATAGCAGATTAAAGGAGGGATCCAGCCAGCACACTAGGTAAGGATGCAATTTTCAGGAGCCCTAACCTGGACCAAAATGTTGCAGTTGCTTATTTACATTGTTGTCACTGGCAGAAGGATCACTACAAAGTATCTGTGGCTTTCAAAGGCAGTGACAACAAGGAGCCACCTGAGGAGCTTTTACAACTAAAAAGCACAGGTCACTTATGTGTACCTGAAGGAGGGCGACCTGGCAGGCTGCTGGCTGGGGGCAGTTGCTGTAGGGAGTCGTGGCACTGGAGCCGGAGAAACACGTGCAGGTGCAGGCTCCTGGTAAGGAGCGTGCCTGGACCAGGAGATGGTCCGTCCTCCACCCAAAGGACAGCCTGTCTAGAATCAAACTCGATCACAGTGTCTGTCGATTTGCAGGCTGTGTGACAAATTCTTGCAGGCAAACCTTTAGGAAAGTGTAACTGGTTTTTTTTGTTTGTTGTTTTTCAGAGAATAGTATCCACTTTTGTCTGTTTTCAGTACCTTTTTGTGCACGTGGCAGGACACACAGCAGGAGCTCTTCAGGCCCAGGACATCCTGCTTGAGGCTTTGCCTCTTCTTGGGAATTCAGGGAACAGTGTCTTCCTCCTTGCTGAGTTTAGCAGTACAACCTGAGCCAAACTGACAGGAGATAGGGTGGTAGAGGGTGGCCGGGCTGGGATGCATGCCTTACTTCTCCAGTCCTGCCTTGCATTTATCTGTTACCTTGCTACACCATGTCTAAAGCAGTGAATACCTAACTGGCACGCGCTCTTTCCCTCCTCCGCGGGGGCTGGGCTGCTCCAGAGACTGGCTGTCTACAATACAAACGGCTCTGATTAAGCTTGCCCTGGGGGGGCGTCCACTGCCTCATCACATGTCTGCTGTTTCTTCAGGTCCGTCATCGGTGGTGTGAGCTCATTATCAAACACAAGTTCACAGAAGCGTATGAGCAGGTGGAGAGGTTCCTCCAGGAGGACCAGGTGAGGGTCCTTCAAATGCTACCTCCACTTGTCCCTGTCTGTGCCCTTGACATGGGGACCTGCGTCCTGCACCTCTCTCTCAGAACACGTATTTAAATAGGTTGGAAATTTTTGAAGGACAAGATAGGACATGGTCCCACATGCAATTTTGAGCCAATTTCCCCTCTCAGTGGCCTTTCAGGCAGTTGGTTTTATGTCGTGGAAGTTCCTGTGATGTCACCTGGCTATGGACCACCAGCACATCACCAGGTGAGGTCTCCTGAGACTCACGCCGAGGTCTTGGCTCATGTATGTCTTGATAGAAAGCATGTGGGGGTCAGCCTGGGCGAGCCCAGCCAGCTGGGCTGCTGTGAGTCAGATCTGCTCCTGTGGTGCCAGGGCAGGAACTTCCCTCCGAGGAAGCAGTCTCCTCAGAGCCCATGGCAAGTGTGCATGTGTTAGGTGTACTTGGAGATGTCCTCATGGGACACCTCTGTCCACAGTACACACTGGGTCACCACTCAGGGCTCCCCACACCCGCCACATGTCTCCCCTGGGCTTGTGCCACTGGCCGAGCTGGCTGCCAAGGCTGTGGGCTGATGGGACCGAGTCCCTTTTGGTGGGTGGAGAGTGGGGGTGGGGCAAACAAAGGGACTTTTGACAGCATCCCAGGACTGGGGGCTGCCAGCAACTGAGGGCCAGTTATTCCCACAAAGAAAAGTACATGGCTTTGTAGCAGCAGAAATGTCACATTTGCACAGGGGCGCAAGAGGTGTTTGGGAAAGGAGACGGGAGCATGAGAAGGGCAGAGTGTGAGCACAGCCTTAGGTCACTGTGAAGACAGAAACTCCCATAGGGTATTGGAACCATGCTTTTCTCATGTGGACCTGGTGCTGTCTGCTTCCTTTGGTGTTCTGCACCAAGCCATCCCAAGTGGGCAAAACCAGAGGGCCCTTGGCCCTGCAGAACACAACTGGCTGTTTTAAACTGTCTTAAACTTCCCTTGCTCCCAAGAAAGCAAGCCGAGTGTGCTGCCAGTAGCCCCCAGGTGGGAGCAGGAATGGGAGCAGGAATGGGAGCGTGGTCAGGCTGGGCCTGATTGCCGTGGGTGGCATGTCTCCCTTGCCCTGGCAGGTGATGAGCATGGCCAGCTCTCCTGGAACACTGTTCCCTAGAGGGAGTCCCCAGGCTCTGGGGCAAAGCTCAGGCTTCTGTGCCGGGCATTGTGGCAGCGCTGCCCCTATCCAGAGCGTGCAGTGGACTTGCTCCCTCATCACTCTGGCCCCTGTGAAATCACCCAACTCAACAGAATTGGTAGCTAAGACTTGCATGGAGTTTTGATGAGAGCAAGGAAGAGACAGACTGAAACCTGCAGGCTTGGAAGGTCAGCTGCGCCACTGTCTGGGTCTTTCCTGAGTCCGTACATTGTAGAGTGTGTTCCCACCTGGGGGTGCAGATAGATGCTCCTTCACTGGTCTCTACCTGCAGGCCATGGGCGTGTACCTCTACGGGGAGCTGATGGTGAGCGAGGATGCCAGGCAGCAGCAGCTTGCCCGCAGATGCTTCGAGCTGGCCAAGGAGCAGATGGACAGGTTCTCAGCCCAGGTGGTGGCCGAAATGCTGTTTTAAACAGGTGATTGTCTTCTTCTTTCTCCACCAGACCCTACTCTTAGGAGCTACACAGTGAGCCAAACCTGCCTGTACCAGCTTGGTCTGCTCCCTCATGGGTGGCTGTGGCCTTAAGAGCTGGCAGAGTGGACGCTGTGCTGATGGGAGGGCTTGGGTCCCGGGAGTGCCTCGTCTGTTAGCACCATCACTGAAGCAGAGGTGTCCACCCAAAGACAGAACAGCTCTCTGGCATTGTTTTGGCCACCTTGGGTTTTGTAATTTGTAGGAACAAAAATCAGGGACTCTCCTTGTAGGTGTAAGGAGGAATGGAAATCCAACAGAAGTATGATCCACAGACTCTGGAGTCAGGGCGGAGGGGGCATCCAGGGCTGTGTGTGGCCTTCACATTCCTCCTGATGTCCATCCTGACCCGTGAGGCAGGCAGCAGGTCTTCCCCAGCCCTTCACTCTTTGCTCTCTCAGTGACACCTGTGCCCTGACAGCAGGTGTCATTTCCACCTGAGTTGGAACAGGATTCGATTTCTCGCTGTCCTGCTTTTTCACCTGCCACCTTTGTTCCATCGGCTACTCGTGGTCCCAGTGATGTTTCCAAATGCATTTCTACACACACGGGAATGCCGCAGTGCAGCGAAGGTTTGTGAGCACAGCTTCCCCTAACGGTGCTCATCGCTGCCTTCTCAGTCTTTCTTCAGGATTGCACGTAACACAATGTCTCATTCTGTGAACTTTTTAAAAAGCTTCAGCAATCAGGCATTTTCCTGCTGCTGTGTAATCCTGTATCGTTAAATTCAGTGGATATGTAGGCTGGTGATATTCGTAACCCACTGTTGAACATTTAACTTACTTGTCATGTTTTGCTTTTAGAAAACCCGTTTCTGGCTAATGTGCTTAAGTATCTTTCTTACCTGAAAGAACTCTGATTCTGAGAGGAACAGCGTTTTTGTGAAGTATGGAATATATCCTCCCGAATAATCTGGGCCCATATTTGTGAGGAAGAGGAATGGGAACTGAGTACTGCCTGCAGCAAGATAGCTGTGTGTGTGCAACTCCCCAGGGGCCAGGTGGCCGACTTAACTGGCAGATGTTGCAAGGGTCTCGTCACCAGCCCCCCATGGGAACCTGTCAATCGTGTCTGTCTTGAGAGTTAACTGTACGGAGAGAGTGGTACGTGTGTGAAAACTGTCGTGCCACAGTCCTTTGATTGTTCCCTTGAAAAAGCACAGAAGCGCATAGCTCTTGTGGTGCTCCACTGTGGTTTTTTTTTTTTTTTTTTTTGCCCCTAATCAGGCAAAGGAGTTGTCCTGGCCACAAGTCTGTCACATCCTCGAGTTCCCTCTGAAGTCTTATTCCCGTCCCAGACCTTCTGGTGAATGCCTGGGTCACAGCAGCCACCACACTGCCATTGTAGTTGAGAGAGACCCAGAGATGTCCCCACCCCTGCGGGGCGAGCAGGGGTTGTGTCCCTGAGGGTTAAACGCAGCATACCAGCAGTAAGGACCGTCCCCTCAGATACCTGCCGTGCGGCTGACCAGTGCATCCTTCATCTCTGCTCCAAAGCCGCACTGGTGTTTCTGAGGTTGTCCGGGTCTGTTTGATGTAAAAATAGCTCTAGGGTGACAGCCGAGTGACTGACCGACAGCACTGCGCTTGCTGGCGGAGCCAGCGCCCGAGGAGGAGGCGGCGCACAGATGGGAGTGGCGCAGCCCGGCCTGCTCTACAGTGCTCTGGCTGCTTGGGTTCCTGGCATGCTGATTTGTGACTTAAGATTAAAATCACATTGCCAGGGATTACCACGCAACCATGACCTTGGCTGCTCCTCCAGAAACCAGAGTTCCTCTCTGCAGCTCGGAGAGCGCGTGCGTCTTGGAGCTCTGGAGACAGAAGAAACAGCGGCCTGTGAAGATGCCAGCCAGCCCTTTAGTGTGTCCAGCGATGACCTCTCTGACAAGGTGCAGAGCTTAGCTGATTGGTGAACAGTGATTGGTTTCCGCTTTGTTCACAGTGGCTAAGTTCTGCACCTGAAGAGAAGGTGAGATGGGGTTAAGCTGGCGGCATGGGGCCGCCACCCACTGCCGAGCGGTCAGCTCGGTGCAGAGCCCCATGCTGGAGACGAGCCGCGACGCCAGCCTGACCCACGGACAGAGTCTCCTGTCAAGACTGCAGGCAGTGTACTGACCGCCCTTGGGTTTGTCTACAGAAACATAAATCCAGTAGCTGAGTGTTTTCTGAAAGGCCAGAGGCGCTGAACGTTGCAGAAGTGCTCGTGTTAAGAACTAACACCAAATTCTCTGCGGATGGCTCACGTGGGAGTGGGGGCTCTGTTGTCCCTTCCTGGGCGGGTCACCTCTCTCTTGTATTTGCAGCCCAGGTCTCTGTCTCTGCAGTGGCTGGCGGGGCAGTGCCCAGCGGAGCTCCCGGCTGTTGATTGGACCCGCCCTCCGGTGCCTACTGAGCTGATAACAGTTCTCATTCACACACTGGCTCAGTTCAGCAGGAACAGGAGTCGAGCCCTTGAGCAAAAAGCCTTCCCAGCTGAGTGCCTGAGGCTCAGGAAGACAGACGCAAGCGTCCAGCGCCAGACCTGGCGGCCAGCTGTGGAGCGTCCGTCTGTATGTGCTCGCGTGGCGTGGGCTGGAAGCAAGGGCCAGCTCTCACCGGGAGCCTTGGCCCTCCGAGAGTGGGCCGAGCGACTGCAGCTCTCTCCTTTCCGGTGTCTGCCTTGGCGGTGAACCTCGGCGGTAGCCCGATGGGTTTCACAGCCCTGAGCGGGCAAAGCGAGTGGCCTGTGACTTGCTTGTGAGCCGCAGGCCTGGGGTTGTGCGGTGTAGCTGTCTCATCCTTGTCCTCCAGTGGGGTCCTTGTTCACAGGCGTCCCTGTGGTGATGGGTGACAAACATTACTGTTTCCTTTGCAGGAAGGATCCCGGTGAGATTGTCTCACGTCCCCTCCTAATCCTGGACGCCAGAGGAGCGTGACGCTCGGCCACCAGCCGCAGGGGTGTGGGCTTCTCTTCCCAGAGGCCAGGCTCGGCGGGCAGTGTAAGAGGAGGTGGATCCCTCATGGACCCCGCTTCCCGTCCACCCAGCGGCCGCCCGGCTGCCCTTGTCTGCGCCCTGGAGACGCTGAGTCCACACTGGGGTTGTGCTGTGACTCCAAAGTGTCCATCCGAACGAAGGAACGGCCAAGACCCAAAAGCCTGAGCTGTGTAGTTGCTCCTAACAGCTGCTGAGGGCATTTCTGCCTTCGGAGTCCCGTGCTTCCGCGTCGTCTCCAGGTGATTTCCAAAAGGCTCCACAGAGCTCTCCAGGCCGAAATGTCCAGCATTCAGGTTCTTCCAAAATTTGAATGCCTTTTGGTGAAAGTGCAGATAATAAAAAAAAAACGGATGTTATCTGAGATAATAAAAACGTAATCAAATTGAATTTTTGTATTCCTGTTTGCTTCTGAGTTTGATACTGTTCAAAAACAAGCAAAATATGTAAGATAAAGACACCGTTCAGCTCTGGCCTTCCGGGCCGCGTGCTTTCTGGTAGTTTCAGGGTAAGGTGGCAGAGATTCTGCGTGGGGGTGGGGACACCTTCAGCCACCACCGGGATCTCTGGTGCACCATTTTTCTTTTTCACAAATGTTAAGTTTAAGAGACAAGACGCACTAACCGAGCCTGCAGCTGCTGCCCACAGGGAAGGGGGACAGGAGACTGCTCCGTGCTTCTGGGACCAGGCAGCCTCCTCTCAGAACAGACCTCAGCACCAAGTGTCTGCCGGTGGCGGGGAGAGACCTGGGTCTCCAGACCTCTGTACTGCATTGTCCCCTGCCTGCCACCAGCAAGGTTGCTCGGCGTTCACTGCTTCCTGTTAGGTGTCCCTTACATCTGATTGTGTCTGCTTTGTGTGCCATGTTGGTAGAAGAAACAAAACTTAACTTTCCAAACGTTTTGCTCGGAACATCAGAATTAGTGATGAGTAAGCGACGGGCGGAGTGGCTCACACCGTAGTAGCTCCCACCCAGCAAGCGTGAGGCCCTGGGTTCAAACCCCAGAACCGAGAGAAAAATGAGTCCCTAGAACTTTGCTCCCAGGTTCTGTGCATCGGCTTTCTTTGAGGCGGGCAGCGCCCGCGCCCAGGAGCGCAGTCCTGCAAGGCTTCCCTGGGCGAGACAGTTGACACCTTCCGCTCCCAAGCTGTGGGTGACTGGCCTGGTCTGGTCTCGTCTTACCAAAGTGAGGAGGCCACCCTTGAACTTGGCACACCCACCTCCTGACTGCCCGCCTGCGCGCTTCTGTCCTCACCTCAGCTCTCCCGGAGAGCCCCGGGCGGCCCTCTTTCCCCGTGGACGTGACCCACGGGCCCCGCCGCCATGCCGCCCTGACCCCAGGCTGTACAAGAAATAAACTGAGAGGAGCGAACGCTGAGCGAGGAGACCGTGCCCGCACTGGGCGGAGGTCCAGGGCAGGACCCTCTCCTGGCATAGGCGGAACCTTCTGTCCCCAGGCGCTGTACGCTCTGTGAGGGTGACGGTGACCCCCACGCAGTAGATGGGGTGTTACGGTGCTGGGCGGAAGAACGGTTGAGTACCTCCTGAGGCCCCCACAAGCCAGGGCCAGGCTGGCGGGGCTCTGAGGGGGCTGTGGGCAGATGCCATCAGTGTGGCAGTGCCATCTGTCTTGAGCAGCCATGACGCACAGGACCCTCAATGGCTTAAGTCAGCTGGGTTTGACAGGTGGGTGAGAAAACGCAGGTATGTCCTTTGAGCAAGCTAACTGGCGACTCAGCCACAGCTGCCCTTCTCCCCCAGCCCTTCCCTCCCCTGGCCAAGCCGCCCGGCCTTCAGGAGCTACCTCCTAGCAAGGTCATCCTTGTGTGTGTACAGTTTGCCCCCACGCGGGAGCCACAGTTAGCCACGTGCCCGATGCTAGACCTGCCCTTTAAAATGAAGGCTCATTTTACGCGTGTTCCGGACACGTTGCAGGGGCCTCCTGGATCTGCTCACAGACGCCGGGAGAGACCGCTGCTCCTCTCGGGCGTGGCCTCCACCACAGGCGGCCTGGCCGAGGGCAGCTGTAGCCCACTGGCCACGGATTGCCAGTGCCGGCGATGAGGTCAGGCCAGCCGGAGGGGCGGCCCCGTGGACGGGTGGTCAGTGTGCTGGAAGGCGGGCAGGCGTTGCCCTGTGCCAGCCAGGCAGACCCACGTCAGGGAAGGAGCACAGCCTGTCCTAGGCGCCCCTCACAGAACCTGGGTGCTCAGGTCTGTGGCCCACTCACGGGTGGCAGGGCCAACACCCCTGTTCCTGAGGAGGTGATGCGTCCCCTGGCACCGCCCCACATGGGGACATTTGACCGCAACAGCGTTGTGGTTAGTCCCTTGGGACACCCCCTCTGGGGGTGGGGCTCTCAAGGCTGCAGAAGGACAAGCCACACACCAGGGACTACGCGGGCACCAAGATGGCGCCCTAAACCGATCGCTCCTGACGCACCTCTGTCCCAGAAGGCTGGCAGGGCTGCCTGGACCCCCCGGGCCCTTCCCGAAGAGCAGGACGGGGGAGGCGGGAGTGGGGGCAGGTTAACGCATCACGCTTGGCCACCGTCACATGCAGACAATGACCTCCGCCCTCCCTGACTGAGCTGCAGAGGTTTACAAGGTGGAGCAGGGGGGAGGCCAGTTTCGGCTATTCAAGGCCAAGGTTTTATGGATTTTTTCCCACCCTTTGGTCTGTCTGGGAGACGGGCTGAAGTAAGGCATTCCTGTTCCAGTCCTGTGACCAGACGTGTGAGAAAGGCAGGAGGCCAGCAGCTGGGCCAGGGGCGGAAGGAGGCCACCATAAAGAAGTGCAGATGTTCCCAGGACTAGCGGGGCTGTCCCAGGCTCCTGCAAGACGACATGCAGGCGTCCTGCAGAGGCCACAATGGCCAAAGGAGCCCACTCTTGGGACGGGGGCACGCCCTGTCACCAGGGCCACGGCCCCTAAGAGCTAGACACCACGAGCTGGTACAAGACCGAGTGTGGGAATGCAGACGAAGGCTTCTGGCCCCATTTCCATCTGTCCAGACAGCTCACCAAAAGCAAGGCCTGTCACTGCAGTGTCATTTCAGAGAGAAGTCCAGGGGCGAGTGCCCAGAAGACAAAGACCCCTCCACCCAGGGCCCGCTCAGCAGCTGGCTGCTCCGCCACCTCTCCTAGACGCAGGCAGGAGGGCGCACAGGGTCCCTGGGGAGACCGGCCACCCCACGTCGCCCCACACCTGGGCCCAGATTCTGCCTGGCCCCAGGAAACACGGTCGCCGCCTGCCTGACGGCTCGTCCCTGCCTCTGCGTAGGACAAACAAAGTTTATACTTTTAGGTTCCATTGAGGCAGATGGACTGAGCGGAGAGGATCTTGAGTTCTCTTTCTGGGAGGCCGGTTAACCACCGATTAGTATCACTATTTCAGCGTTAAAAACCGCGGAGGTGGGTCCCTGAGACTGCAGTAGGCAACTGGGTTCTGGCACCCCGCCATGTGGTGTCTGCTTCCTGGCCTTTGTCCTTCTCCCACCTGTGACATCTTTCAGCTTGGCCCTGATGGACCCGGCCTGCCGCTGGCCAGCCAGCCCAGGAGCTGAGCCTGCCTGTGGGTGACGGGTGAGGCAGGTCATGCCTAACTGCCCAGGCAAGTGTCCCGAGTTCCAGAACGTTCTTTTCAGCGCTAGGCGTCCTCACCGGCTGCACGTGTGGACTGGGTTGGGCATTTGGGGCAGGCGGAGGCCAAGGTGGTGACTCCAGCATTGGTGTCCCTGGAGACACGGCCGTGGGGTCTGAGGGGGGAGGAGGCCATAGAGATTAGGCAGTGTGCCCGTGGGTGGAAAGAGGAGTCACCGGGAGGCGCTGCACTTGACTTTCGGTGGCAGTAAGTTAGTTAAGCGCGTGGAGGAGACGTGTGCAGGGGACCTGCAGAGCTGGTGGCGGCAGCGACCCAGGGGCAGGGCAGGAGGCGACTGTCACAAGGGGCAGGGGCGGGGGCTGGGGGGATGGACAGAGGATGGACAGAGGGACGTGCTCTGGCTAGGAGTGCCATCTTTTCCTAGAAAATCCTAAGACCAAGGCCAGAACTAAGTCCTGGGAGAAAGCAGTGAGTGCCACCGTGGTGACTGCAGTGCTAGGAGCAGGAGCAGATGTGTCTTTTGAAGTCACGGATGGCGCCATCCTGGTTCCCTCACAGCGCTGTTTGACAGCGGCCCCCTCGCGGAACAAACAAGGATCTGCCTTTATGGGGTGGTGACTTTTTTTTTTTTTTTTTTTGCGCAGACTAAACATACAAACAAAAAGGAACAACGTGTAAACAAAAAGTAAAGACCCCCCTTGTCCCTTCCCGGCCCCCCACAGCCCCGGGGGGCACAGCACTGTCCCCGTGCCCAGAGACGGTTCCAGGACTCTCTCAGCATCGAAGGCCAAGGCCACAGGCGCCCACCTTTGACACGTGACACTCGCTCGTGGCCTGCACACAGCATCTGTGTACTTGTCACCTCTCGATTTCTCAGAATACTCAGTACAAGGAACAGTGCGGAAAAGGCCGCCGTGCGGTACAAAATCTGACAAGTTCAGACGGGCTCGGTTCCGGTTCCGCGTGTTTCTGAGCCAGTTGGTGGACTCCTTGACGTGGAAGCCGTGATGCAGGGGACGACTGTATACACCAGACGCACAAACGCGACCCTTCGCCCCACGATGCCATGGCTGCCGCACAAACACCTTCAACCTGAGTCACGGCATCCGCCAGCTGCCTTGGCTCAAACGCCGGGTGTCACCGGCGTCACTGGTGTCACCTTGGCAAGTTCTTTAGCCCCTGCAAAACTGGCCATGGACCCGCGACGGCTAGTTGTGACATCGCTGCAATGAGCAACCTGGGCGTGAGTGCACAAATGCGGAAGCCCCAGATTTTCTCTTTAGGGTGGCATCGTGCGATCTGAAGCGGAAGGGGTTTTATTACTGTTATTATTATTATAATTACTCTTACTGCCGTTGACTTGGCGGGCCTGCCCTGCCCCCCAGCAGGACCAGGTGGTGTCCCCTGAGCAGTGGCCCTCAGAGCCCCAACCTCGCACCTCAGGCCAGGCTTGGGGACACGGGGTGGCCGGGGGCTGGACACGGGGCTCGTGCGACTGTGCGCCAGGGGGGCCGCGAGTTCTGGTGAAGAGCAGCTCGCTTGCGCCGCGTGCAGGGCTTCTCACCTGCTAAACTTTCCTTCTCCAAATCAAAACACCATCTTTCCAGAGCGGCATTGTCACTGCCCGCGCCCCAGGGCTGTCCCAGACCCTGGCCAGGAGGACACGCGATTCTTTAAGGTTCATTTGGCTGAGAAGCAGCGCCAGCTCCGTTGCCACCATCGCAGCTTTGCACTGCGGCCTGAGGTGACCTCGCCAGGAGCTGAGTCCCTGGGCAGATGGCGGTGTCTGAGACCAAGGCAGGAAGCGTGGAGGGCGGCAGTGGTCACACTGGGGGTTCCTGTAGGGTTGGGCGTGGGGTGACAGGAAGGAGTCAGGGGCAGTTTGGGGGACAGTGGAGTCCGTGCTGGGTCTGTGGTCCAGGAGAGGGCATGGCCCCTCTGGGGATGACAAGCGTCAGGAGAAAGGAGGGGCCACGAGGCCCCAAGTGTGCTGGCCAAGGGGACATGTCGGGGAAGCAGGGACAAGTGTGTCCACGCCACCGCCCAACCCCCTGCCCGGGATGAGGCTGGAGAGCTGCAGCTGGCAGGAGCCACAGGCGCCTCCGCGACCCCGACAGGCGCCTCCTTGTCCTCGTCCTTTGGTGCCCACCCACCTAGTCGCTCCCATCATGGTGACTTTGGGATGTGTCCGTGCGTGGATCGCACATTGCGTCACGTTCAGGACTTTCCTGCCTGTCCTTTTTAATTTCTTTCTTTCTTTTTGGCAGCACTGGAGCTGGAACTCAGGGCCTCACGCTTACTGCCCCGTCCTCCTGGCCCTTCTGGATGTCCATTTTCCCGTGTGATCTTGGAATCCAGTTGTCCCATTCCCTCATCAGGATCCCGCTAGGCCTAAGTGGACAGTCTTCAGCAATCTGTGTCCAGGATGTCCGTCAAGAAGTTCCAGTCAGAGCAGGCTCCTCCACCACAAGGGGTGCTGGCACTGTCACCCTCAGCGGCAGGGGTGCTTCAAGCACTGAGTGACCGAGGCTGGGGACACTGCCAGCCCCCCAGTGCCCAGGACAGCCTGGTGGGCAGTGCTAAGGGGGCCTCTGGTGCCTGCCACGGTCATCACTGCTCCCCAGTGCTGAGTGTGAGGCTGGCCCAGGGGACTCGGCTTTGCAAAGGTCTGGCACAGTCCTCAGGAGTAGTGGCCACTGCTAGGCGAGCCCTCCTGTGCGCTGACACCGGGCGCCACAGCGTCCTCACGACCCCAGCTCCACACACCCTGAGCCAGTCTCTGACTGGAGTGGGCGCAGGGCCTCCGTCCTGCCAGAGCCAGAGCCAGAGCCACTTCCAAAGTGTCCCGAGCAGACTGCCACCACTGCCCGGCCAGCCTGCAGCCCGGCCCGGTGGCCTTCCCGCTCTGTCGCCAGTTGCCTGAAGCGTCAGAGCCCGCTTCCAGCTGCACCCGTTTAGCGTCTTTCAAAAAAGCTGAAAGAGCCCACGAGTCTGGATGTCCCCAAGTCTACGGCCACTGGCAGAGGCCGTAGGTGTTAAGAGCTCTGCCTGCCTCAGGCCCCGCCATGAGGGGCGTGGGCAGCGCTGCCTGCCCACCCGTCCACGCACACTCACTTCCGCAGGGGCCATGGCTTTGGAGGATGGGAACGGCTGCTGTGAGGCGGGCTGTTCACATATGTGGGGCGAGCTCAGTCCCTGTCCCCACGGCCTTTGTCCCCGCAGTGCACCGTTCATACTGTACTGCTTCTCAGCAGCTCAGGTCAAAAGGTTTTGGAATTTTCCAGATTGTCAGGTGGCTCCATTAGCACTGCCTTAAACCCTGGCTCTCGGTTCCTCTACAGGTTAACCCCTGACCCCACGGGCGTTACTCACACCTCAGACAGGAGCCAAGATTCCTAAGACATAAATCAAAATGGACATAAAAGAAGGTCTTGCCTCACTTGGCAGACAGCGTCCACACGAATGAAGCTGGGAGGAAAACGTCTCAGCTGAAGTGACCGTCCCCACTCCAGTTTTAAGGAGACAACCGATACCCCAACCTCTCCTGCTGTCCAGAGCCAGCCTGAGCCAGCCCTGCTGATGTGGCAGGAGGGCTCTGGTGGTCAGGACTGGCTCTCCCCACTCAGTGCACTCCTCGGCAGGGTCCACCAATAGCCTGTCACCACTGCTGCCACTGTTTCCCCTGACCTGGTCGTAAAGCCCTGAGGGAAACTTGAGTGAGTCTGTCTTCTGGATGAGGAGTTTCTTAAGAAGGCAAGACCGTGCATCTTCACCCCCAAGATCCCTGAGGATGAAAGGAAAATACCAGTAACGAGCACCTAGCTCCTGCACAACAATGTGTGGACCCGGGCACACTTGACCAGTGGTTCAAGATAGACTTCTGAGTTCAAAGACTTGAACCATTCAAGTAACAGTCACGTGTCGTGGCTTGACATGGGCCTCCCACCTCAGCCTTTCCCTCCATGGTCCTCTTAAAACCAGAGTTTTGGACCCAAGGCCCAAACTCCTGAGATCCCATATGCCAGGTCTGGCCACCCACCACTGAACCCCAAATCAAAGGCCTGGTGAAGGCGGCAGAGAAAGGAGGTTTATGACACGGCTCGGGACATGCGTGGGAAGAGGCAGAAGAAGCACTGAGCCCATCTTCAGCCATCTTCGGGTTACAGTCATGAGCTACAGGTTTAAGTAGACAAAGAACTGGGGGCAGGGGACAAAGGTGTGCACAGTTAAACAGTCCAGTCACAGGTGTGGTCTGGTTGACCATTATCTCAGTCCGAGGGTTCCCAGAGGGGTTCTGGAGAAGATGTCATTGCTGTCATCACTTGAGGGGAGCCATCTGGTTCCCATGAGATGACTGCTCCTGCTGCAGGGTGCAGCCTCATCACTGTAGGTCATTGTCCTCATTAGGAGGGGCATCTGTCCTGCACGTTCCAGTTCCTTATGGGAAGTTTTAGTCCCTGTTATAAAGCTGTTGTCAGTTCTGTCCTTTCTGGAATCCAAGCTGATTGTAAAGTGACTGCAGAGAGAATGGCTTAGAGCAGAGACAGATGCAAAATGGAGGCAGGGATGCCAAGCTTCCCCAGTTTTTAGTTAATTTGTGGGCCCAACAAGGAGTCAGTGCTTTTCAGTGAAAGCAGTTTGAGCACCTCTTACACTCTCACTGTGCCCAGGCTGGACAGCTGCAGAAGCCCCAAGGGGCAGACCTGGCTGAGGGGGCTAAGGCACACGACCTCATTCTACAAAATACACAGGACCAGGTCATCCCAGCACAAGTGTGCCTCATGCTTACAGCTCCAAGAAGGCCTTATTCCATAGCTTGAGGCCACAAGTAGTCACCCCTTGGAATGGCCATGCAGCTGCACTCCTTGCTAGACTTGAGCTCGCAGCTCCTGAAGGAGTTCTCTGGCCAGCTTTCCTGACCTAGGGGGCTCGATGCCAAGATGCTCCCATCGGTACAGGGTCTGGTCAAGAAAGCCGATGATCTCATGGGTTAGCTCATCAGTGCCAGCCATCTGCAATGAGACGAGAGAAGCAAATTAAGATACCTTCCAGCAGATTCCTCCATGTCCAGTGGACTAACCAGCTCCAAAGGAAAGCACTCAGGGCACTTGTTTTGTCTGCAAGGTGACTGGAGGACAAAAGAGATCACCAAAAAGAGACAAGCCATTTCCTGTAACCTTAGCCTCACAGGGGCAGGAGCACAGAGCAAATCCCAAGCAAAGGCAAAATGTGTTGTGGCTTGATTTTCTGCAAAAGCTCACACTACCATGAGAACTGGAAAATGCCAGCTGTTTCCACACAAACTGGCTCTTTGGTGGCATTCCTGAGCCATCACAACTGGTTTTTAATAGGTTTGACACATGCCTCCTGCAGGGAAGCAGGAAGCCAGGCATTGTTGGTTCTGGTAAATTCTAACAGCCTCCAGGCATTCACTTGTTGGTGGCTCTGTTTTCCTAAGATCTTCAGTTGAGAAAAAAGGGAAGGGTGAGAAACTCACAGTGAGCCGTGTGAGGAATTCAGTTTTTAGGCACAGCAATTAGGAAGCCCTGTTTTTCGAAGAACAGGCTACACACTTGCTTTGTTTGTGTCAGTTGAGCCTTAGCAGTCCCAGGTCTCCACACTAAACTTTTCTGGCAGGGTGACAGCCACCCCAGCTTTCTGGTGACCCTAGCCAGGGGAGTCCTTCTGTCCTGAGCTCAGTAACAGAACTGTCTTCCAAAGTGCACGACATGACTGCCGTGAGGAATGTGGATCTGGAAGTAGATGTGGGGATCGATCGCCTGGCAGGGAAGAGCGCACAGGCCCTGGGGTGGGGACAGTGGCTTCAGGATGGCCTTGGGGTCTGCTGTCACTGCTCGGGCTGGAAATGACCTTCACCAGTTCCAGCCTCTGAGCTTCCTGGAGGAAAAAATGTGGCCTCTCTTGATGCCTTCAAGGAGTTCATTTACTGCCTGGAGCCCCGCTCAGGGCAGGCCATGCCTCTGGCACAGTGTGGCACTCACTCCATCCACCTTGCGCCTTCAGTAGCACACACAAATCCTCCCTGCTGGCCTGGGCCGAGGCGGTCTGTGCGGCAGGTTAAACCCTGTTAAGGGCAATGATTTCAGGCTCCTGCTAACCTGCTGCTGTGACCCAGCAGCACAAGTCAGGAGGATTTAGACAAACGGGCAGAGAGGACAGGACAGGAGGGAGAAGACTCCAAACATGATTGCTGTGCAGAGCTCACCTGTCCCAGCACCAGTGTGTGGGGGGTGTGGAGGGGGATGAAAAGCGAGCATGTGGCCCAGCAGCCTGAGTGCAGTGGCTACTTGGAAGGCCAAGGCTGGGGAAGTGAAGCTGGGGAGAGGCCAGGGGAGCCGACTGCTGGCTACTAGAGAAGGGACACTGGCCAAGCACAGGTGGTGGGATGTGGGAGGACAGAATGAGGCTGGAGGGCAGTCCTGTAAGCTGAAGGGAGCTGCTTAAGCAGGGCTGGTGCCATGAAGGTTCTGAAGAGACAAGTGACCACTGCCCTCTGCAGGCCACCAGCCTGCCAGCCTGAGACACACAGCTCTCCAAAGCTGAGGCAGAGCCCAGGTCCCCGGCGGGGGGCGGGGGGTGGTCCCAGGCTGGAGGGGGATCTGAGCCCTCTGAGCTCACATGAAAGCCATGCCAGAGTCAGCCAGGGTCCTGAGCTGGTGACCCCAAGCTGCTACAGAAGGGCTGTCCCATCACAGCCACCACTTGCTCTCACACCAGGCAGGCCCAGTCCAGGACTCCTTCCAGGAGCTGGCAGCAGAGGGGAACTGATGACTGCAGAGGTGGTGAGAAGGCCATGAGGCTGGGCTGTGGGGAGGGCCCCTTCCACCTGTCACACAGGTAGCTGATGGCTGAAGAACCTGCTGCCTGGAGCTTGCCTCCTCGTTAGGAAGGCCAGGATATAAACCAAGCATCTGGAAGGACAGTGCCCAGGCAGCCCTCTCCTTGGGACAGGCTCTGAGGGGCCCAGTGGAGCTGGGAAGCCTGGCCTTGAGTTCCTCCTCTGCATTCTTGGTAGGTGAACTACTTGGAACATGGCGACCTGAGACTTCCACACCCCTGCAGTCCCAGGTTTACATCAGCAGTGTTAACGTGTAGCTGGGATCAAAGTAGAGTCCAAGCGGACTTGAAATTCCTGTGCTAGGAGCCAGGCCCAGCTGGAATGTGCAGTTTCCCCTGACTCCATGGCAGCATGGCTGGAATGGCAGGCAGGGAGCTGGGTGTCCCCAGGGAACTCTCTCTGGGGTATTTCCTGTCATGCTGCTGGGCAGGGCTGTGCTAACCCCAGCTGGTGAGCGCGCCGTGCCCAGGCCATGGCAGCTTCTTCACTCCCAGGTGGCGGGATGGGGACGGGGCACATAACCTTGAAGAAAGCACCTGAACCAATGGCAACCCAGGAGCAGTGCAGGTCCCACCAACAGGCGTGGTGGGCATGAGCAGGAGCTCAAGTGGCAGAAATGCCACCACTGTCATGAGTCAAAAGTGCCTGCTGTTGGCTTTTTAAATTAACTTTAGAACAGTTCTGGATTCACAGTTTCTGCACAGACTGGACCGATTTACCCCGTGCTGCATCCCGCTAACAGGCCAGCACATGCCAGGGGCGAACCATGGATACATCGCTAACAGAAGTCCAGGCTCTGTTCTGATGCACCAGCTTTTCTCTCTTGCCCTTTTCTCCCCTAGGACCCCACATGACATTGGCTGTCACGGCTCCTTTGGTTTCACTTGGCTGGGACAGCTGCTCAGACGTTTCTGGTTTGATGTCCTTGACAGTTCCGAAGAGTACTGGTCAGGGATCTCGCTGCTGTCCCTTGGCTTGTCTGATGTATTCTCATGACTGACCCTGGACTACAGATTTTGGGGAGGAAGACTACAAAGATGAAGTGCCATTTTTATCCATGGTTTCAAGGGGAATACTGTCACTGCGACTGACACCTGCTGATGTTCACTTGACATGGTGAAGGCAGAAGGTGAGAAGCAGCTGCTGCAGTGCAGACCTGGCAGGGTGAGAATGGCTGTTGACACCGAGTTATATGGACGTGTTTTAGCCCTCAAGTATGGAGTTCACGTGGGTTTGGAAGAAAGCAAAGCACATTACTATTGTATTACCTTGTAGCTTGTCCCTCCCCAGGTGTCTAACTGACATTACCACAGTCATGCTAACTGACAAACCTATCACCCTACAGTCACTTTGTGTGTGCACACATGTGCACATGGCGAGACACTTAAGTGTAAGTCATCACTAATGATGGCTTCGTGTCTCCAGACATGACCATTGAACTACAGGGTCCTTTCCCTGGACCAGGACCCACCAGTCCCTCCCCCCCACCACCCTTCTTCTGTTTTATGAGTTCCACTTTAGGGTGAGATCTCGCAGTTGGTCTTTTGTGTCTGGCTCGTGCTCTCCAGGCTGGTCTGGGTGGCTGTAGGTGTGCATCTTATAAGGTAGTGCTGAGTCCTTAAGTGCTCACGTGCTGGGCCCAGAGCGGTGGCACCGACATGTGACAGCCAAGTCCTCTGCTCTCAGCCATCTGTGAGCATGCCAGCTGGGGCTGGCAGACCGGCTGCTGCACACACATCATCCAGCCTGCCGGAGGACAGCCTCCCAGGGCTGGTCGTCTCAGGTGCTGTGGTCATTTGTCACTGGGATTGTCCTTGTACCCACGTCACATTCGGATGGAGCCTGCGGGGACGGGACGGGGCGGGGGCGGGGCGGGGGCGGGGCTCTGGGAGCCTTTCTTGAGTTGGTTGCTGGCTGCAGGTGCTCTGGTTGTGAGATTTCTCAAGCAGTACATTCTTTATAATTAAATGTCAATAAAAAATAAAACACAACTCCCAGAGTGAACATGTTGGCGCTCTTTTTTCGTTTTTTTAAGATCATTAAAAAAAAATTCTGGCAAAATATACATAATAAGATATTCTATTTTAAGCATTGCTACAATCTGGAGATATGAAGCACAGTCCTGGTGCTGTGCCTCCGGCAGGGCAGCCCACCCAGGACCAGAACTGCCGCGGAGTGGCTGCGGGGGCAGAGCGCCTGTCTCACAAGTCTGAGGCCCTGAGTTCAAACCCCAGTACTGCCAAAAGAGCCACCTTCCTCTTTCAGGCTGGGTAACACTTCGCTGCACGTAAGAGCATGTTTTGTTCACCTACTCTCGTGTTGAGGACACGTGTGCTGTGAATATGTGGGCAAGCTGCTCGAGCCCTGCATTCAGTTCTTCCGGGGACACCTAGGAGTGGGGCCGCTGTGTCCTTTGGTAACTGTACGTTAGCTTTTTGAGGAAATACCAAACATTCCCCCAGTCGCTGACCACATTATCAGCCCAATTCCTTTAACTGTTAACGCTGTTTTCCTTATTCTTCTACCTACGACAGCCTTCCTAGTGACGGTGAGCTGGGCGTGTGCGGCGCTGGGATTCCGCTCGAGCTGAGCCTCCTCACGGTTGTAGTTTGTTCTGAGATGAGGTCTTGCTGACTTGCTAACTTGTCATCCTCCTGCCTCGCCTCCCAAAAAGCTAGGATTACAGGCGTGAGCCACTGGCACGGTCCATCCCCATGGCTTGATTTTGTAATGTCCTGTGCTGCTGAAATCTTTTCAAATGCCTTCTGGCCATTTGTACGTCTTTGAAGAAAGATCTGTTCAAACCTTCACCCTTCTAGAGCTGGGTTACTTGTTTTCTGTTGCTGCGTCATAAAAATTATATTCTGGACACTGACCCTTATCAGACAGACTATTTCCAAATATCTTCTCCCATTCCAAGAACTGTCTTTGGACTTTTTTTTATCGTACCCTTTGCTGCACCAAAGTTTTTAATTTTCATGAAGTCTACCGATCCATTTTTCCCTCTGCTGCCTGTGTCTCTGGTGTCACATTCAAGAAATCACTGCCAAATATGATGTCATGAGTGACACGTTTGACTTGGACCACTGTTCACCCTTCGTGTCACCTGGAAGTATTTCTTTGTGATTAGCTGATTTTTTCCCTTAAATTAAACATGATTCTTTGACCAGTTCTGGCAGGTGGCACGGCAGCCGCTGTGAGTTCTTGCTGGAGTCTTCCTGGCGGAAGGGGCGGGTGTGACTGGGATCAGAAGGGCAGAAGGTGGGCTCTCATCTTGGGCCCTAGCAGGAGCACACGACAGGAGCACACAGGACCTGCAAGGGGGCCCCTCCTTTCTCTTCAGTGACATCAATGTTGTGCCCTTAGGCTCTGGGGTCCATCCTGGTGCCAGCCTCACGCTGAGACAGCACCCTGGGCACACGCTCTCGAAGGCCGGGATCTCAGGCACCCACCATTTACCTGGAGCTTAAGTGTGAACTAGGACTTGAAGACAGGGAGACTTACAAGGGCGATGGTCTCCCGGGCGATGGCATGGCCTCCGGGGGCCCACAGCAGGAAGTCCAGCAGGAGGCGTCTGACCAGCTGTCTCCATGCAGGTCTGGCCTCCGTGGTGCTGTTCTCAAGAGCCTGCAGGTCTGTGGCCGTGAGGGACGTGCTTCTGAACAGTGTCCGGAGACGGCCGAGCACTGCCTTCAGCTCCACCTGGAAAGCAAGTGCAAAGGGTGAGAGGTCAGGGAAGACCCGGGCGCACACGGCTCTAGGATTTCAGTGCTTTGAAGCCAGCCCCAGGGAGAGGAGCGGCCTGGCGCCCGAGAGAGGGTGGACACAGGCCGCTGAGTTGACACACTGCCCCACACAAACCCAAACGGGCAGAACGGGAATTTCTTGACTTTCTTTCGTCTTACTCACCAAGCAGTTGGGGCACCATGCCAGGAATTGACCTTTTTTGTATGAAAGGACAAGAGAAAGGTCCTCAGCAGAATGTGGGCAGATTTTTCATGTTGTGGGAAAAAGAACAGAATGCGCCTTGAAGACCCTCATTATCAGCCAGAATCAGAGCTGGCGGCCCTGCTGACCCCACAGACAGGAGCACAGCCGCCTCCACCTTGCCAGTTTTGGGGGAGACATGCCACATGCAGGCACATACGCACACGCACAGCACATTTGTGTCAGACACTGGGACACTGTTCATACATGTTCGAGCTAAAGCGGAGGTCACGTCTGAAATCCACATAATAACGGTGACCACTGTGAGTCTGTGGATTGTTTTTGCGTAAAAAAATGCTTATTTCATGCTGACACTTCCGCTTGCTACAAGAATGGTACATCAAGAGGTGACCTGCGAAACAAAGCACAAACTGAGAGGCGCGATACAAACGGCACATGGGACTCGTCACAGCTACGCTCCATGTCTCCAGCAAGCACTTGGGTCGGGCCTGAGGATTCCATGGCTGATTTCTTAAGATCTGAGAGCCACTTGTTTCCCGGGAAGTGAAGGCCTTGGTCAGGGCTGTCTGCCACAGCCCGCAGCGTGTGCTGGGTGAGCTCTCCTGACCACAGAGAGACCGGGAGAAACAGCACCACAGGGCTCGTCCACGGGCAGCAGTGTTCCCAGGACGGCACCTTTCTCGCTCTCCCGGCCATGCCACCTGCCCTCCTATGGTGGCATCCACCGCAGCCCTGAGCCTCTGCCATTAAACAGGCCTACAAAACGCACAGGACTCAAAAGGCAGCCACTGTGCACCCCCTTTGTTCTCGGCTGGCCTCTGACTTCCTACCCTTGTCCAGTATCTCCTAAAGATGTGCTCCTCCTCTTCTGTCCCAGACTGACGTCTACTCACAGTGCTTTCTGTGTCCTAAAGCTTCTATAAGGGTTGCGAACACTAAATGTCCTCTAGGTTTTTCAGGAGGAGCTAAGTTTTCTTTTCTTTGAAAATCATTATTTTTGGTGTCTATTATAGAAATTTATATATGCTCACTATGGAAAAACCGGAGAAAGGAAATCAGAACGATGTGTACCTGCATTTTAAGAGTCACAGCTAGAAACAGAGTTATGTCCTCCTTGCCTTTCTTCTTATGCAGGGGACGCACCACTTACTGTTTCTGGATCTTTCACATTCCTCTTCATGATGTGGAACATGTTCCCGAGAACACGGACTTTTGCTGGTGGAAAGCTACCCCACGGTGAGCATATACACAATTTATTCAGACAATAACCTATTGCTGAAAAGTTAGGCAACTGTTACGGATGCTGTGATGAATGTTCTTGTGAGGGTGAGTCCAGCAGTAAAAGGACAGGATTAGCGCGTTTGAGGCCTCACCACAGTCAAGGGTATAGAAACACAGACTTTTTGTGTCTTTCTATCCTGATCTAAGTCACCTGGCAAAAGGAGATGACCACTAGCGGGCAGAGACAGTGGCCTGCCAGGCCTGGTTCAGGCAGAACATGTCCTGGGCGGCATGGTGCCCTCTTTGCCCCAGTTCTGCACCTCGCAGACACAGACAGCCAGCAGAGAAAACCACTCCTGCCACCAGGAGCTAAGTGATTGACCACGAGTCACTCACACCTTTCACCAAACGCAAAGGCACAAGTGCTGTGAGGCGCTATCGGTGGTCACACTTTCTACCACAGTCCAGTCTTTCTCAAGTCACCCAACAGACCATCAAGGGATCAAAGCCCACAAAACCCAGGGCCATAGGACATGTATTCTTATTAACCTGGAAAAGTCCCTCCTGGGATATCGCACGCACCAGAGTCTCAAGTCGGGCATCGGGGATGGCCAGAAGCTCTGACTTCCGTCCCTGCCGATGAACAGCAAGGAGTAAGGGCTAACAGGCCGACTGCTCCAAAAGAGCTGGTTCGCTTTATCCAAGAGCATCACCGAGTAAGAACTACGTTAAGGAAAAAGAAAACCCAAGTCCGCTAGCAGAAGGATTTAGCAATGAAGAGCTTCCTAGAAGTCCAATGTTGGACGACTGATTTCTCCGTATGTGAAAAGCGAGTCTGTCAGGGCCTGTAACCACTGTGGATATAATGCCACGACGAATTTAGTGTACAGTCAAATATGAAATGCCTCCAGAAGGGCTTGGAAACCACCAGCATGAGTGATTTTCCTTAATTAGTTTAATGTGATATTTTAAGGGGGAGAAAGAGAAGGCTTTCCTTGTCGCCAGAGAGCAATCCTCAAACACGTACGTGGACCACAAGGATTTCTGCAAAACAGCCTGTCCTCAAATTTCAGCTTTCTAAAATCTGAACTCCTTTCAGTAAATAAAATACACAGACACCTGCAGTAGTCTCTGGATTTCTCAAACAGAAGATACAAAGCAAACAGAAGCACTGTTCCATACATAATGGAACCTGTTCCCTTTAATTATTAAAGTCAACAAAAAACCAAAAAACACTGGAAGTTGAAGTTTTAAGAAGCAGTGAATAAATGTTTGCCAGGGAGCTGCCAGTCTTTGATGAAAGCACGGCTTCTTGCAATCATTGTACTCCACGTGAAATAACAGCCGTCTTTGCCACGGGTAGCTCCCCAGCTCCATACTTAGCCACTCTGTCATTTAGGAAATGACCAAGGCCTGTTTCAGAAGCATGGTGGCTGATGTCACGTGGCGCCTCAGTGAGCGGGGTAAACAAGGCCGGTGATGTGAGACTTGTAGGCTGACTTGGGACAGCTCAAGTCAGGAGGAAGCAGGCCACCAGGCTGATCAAGGGCCAGCTGTGCACAAGAAGCTGCCACCCTGTGCTGTCCTTCCCCAGAGGACAGAGCCCTGGGGCAACATGTGAAGGTAAATGAGGGTGGAATGGCCACAGAGCAAGAATATATCAGATAGCCCTAAGCCAGAGGCCCAAAGAGCAGGAGCAGCCCTACTGGGCAGCAGAACACCTCTGACTGCAGATCCAGCCCATATCCATTGTCACCTGAGTAGACAGCTGCATGTTACCATGGCATACATCACAAGTGCCCAGAGCGGAGGTGCCTAGGGTTCCAATGAAAGGCAAACCCCCCCTTACCCCCGTAGGATGTTCTCTGTTCCCCAGGGCCCAGTACCCACCATGGTCTGCTCCCTTTGCAGTCTCCCATCCTGGGGGCTGTAGTAGAATGCCAAGAGCCACAGGAGAGCCACAGGAGGGTCATCTTCTGACTTCAATAGCAGCTCAGCCACCGTATTGACCCATCCTCCAAAATGGACAAAGAAAAACCAGCTCTCGAATGGGTGTCCCTGGGACCTGGAACACAGCAAAGACATATGGCAGCTGGCGACCTGTTTTTTTTTCCTTTTGGTTCTTAGAGCAACTGTAATGAGCAAACGGTTGGTTAGAATTGTACTTATTACTGACATACAACCTGCATGAAAGCAATTTAGACTCAGAAAGCCCAGGTGAGCCCAACATGGGACACCCACAGGGTCACCTCCTCTAAACCCTGTGCTGTGAAGACTTCTGACGTTTAAGTCTTTATAAGTGGCAGAGGCTTTGAGAAAGGCCAACAGGACACATGCATGATGAGACCACGCATCTCACCTGCCTCTTTCCACTGGCCTGCACAGCTGGCTGCTGTGCAGAATGGGCCCCCAGCTGCAAAGGCAATCACCCAGAGGTAGCTCCAGAGCCAAAGTGGGGTGGATCCAGGGTCCAGGTAGAGACCAGCATCCCTCCAGATAAAGGGTGCTGCACTGATTCTGGTCAAGGGTTTCAGCCATCACGCACCCCTAAGGAGTTGTGTGCACGTTCTTTCCTGTAAGCATGCATGTGGTACAGCAAGGCAGGCTTTTTAGAAGCTGTCCCCCAGCACAGTGCAACTGAGAGCTGTGATGTGTTTAGGCTAGCATCTCCTCGAGGTAAGGACAGTGACAGTCTCAGCAGGTCAACATCTCCCCTGGAGAAAACGGACCAGGAGGGCCTGAGGTCATGCTGCATGAGAACTTCCCTGTGGCTGGAGGAGAGGCTGGAACAGGAGTGGCTGGGCCCTGTGTGGTGTCAGTCTAGTTGGACTGGTTCCTGCTGCTGTGCCTGGCCTATGGGCTCCCCAAGTTCTGAGCACTATCCCTGCCTTCCTGAGAACACATGAGTAAATGTTTGTATGAAGCTTGGAAAAGGAAGGACAGGAAAAGCATGGGGCCATATTGGTGGCAGGCTGGGCAGGATGTCTGAGGGTGAGATGGGGGATCTACCCTCTCAGACTTCACAGGTGAGTACCTGAGCAGTGAGCCCCGCTCTGCTCCAAGTAGAGATCAGCCTGGTACTTCCCCTTTTCTACCTGCATGAGTGCTGATGCCTGATTGCAGAACTGCCTATAGGTGGACTCCAAGGTCTAGGTGAAGGCAGAAGCCCATGAAGTTTGGGCCTAAATCCTGCTCTCCTGCAGGGACACCAGAAAGGTTGTGCAGGGGCCAGCAGCGTGTGACAAAGCAACCATGTGGCTGGCATTCTGATGCCCGTCTGGGTGCCAGTTCTGTTTTGTCTGCTTCCAGTGGAGGGAGTGATGGGCACCAGAACCTTTAGTTGGTGCATGCAGGCACAGGAGCCTTGTCATGCTCTGCTAGCTCAAAGATGAGACAACAGAGAGTCGAAAGGGATGGGTGGCAAGAGGGACAAATAAGACAGAGGGTGCTGTCATTAATACTGTGAATGTGGCAAGCTGGAAGGAAGCTAGAGTGTTATGTCACAAGAACAAGCAAGCCATGCAGGACTGCGTCAGGAAAACAGCCACGTGCCGCCCAGAGGCTATGACCATGCTGCAGAGATGAGCTTACATTAGCAAGGGGCTTCTGACTTTGGAGATTTACTCAAGAGGAGGAAAACCAATGCACAGTTTTTATGTCAATTTTAAAAATGGAGGGCTGGAGGAGTGGCTCAAGTGGTAGAGCCTAGCAAGCAAGAGGCCCCGAGTTCAAACCCCAGTACTGCCAAAAATAAAAAAAAAAGAGGAAACACAAAGCATTCACCATTGTCTCCATTGGACAGGAGTAGCTCAGAGCTTCCTTCCTACACAGGTAGAGAGGTCAGAGGACCCAGAGGTGCCTATTCTGTTCAGAATGGCTAGGGCTCCCCACATGTGGTGCTGCTTTTTCTCTAGGTCTCTCCTCTTTACTGTCATGCTTGGATGTTTCAGTATGGAAACACAGACCTTACTTAGAGCTGACTGTGCGGATGTCTGCACACATACACCTCGCTAATGTAACCTTCCCTGAAGCTGGGTGCTTCCTCTGCCTCTCAGCAACGGCGCTTTCCTGCCCGGTGAAGGTCCAGTACAGCTTCAGCTGTCAGCCCTGCTCACAGGGAAGAGAGGGACCAGGGAGACACCTGGGAGGCAGGCTTGGAAGTGGACAGTGTTTGCTTACCCATAAGTCTGGTCTTCAACTGCTTCTCTGAGCAGGTCCGAAATATACTGCAGAGGCTGGAGCTGGCATCCCTGGATAGCTGTGGGTGGAGAGAAGTTAGAGGCAGACCCATTAGCGGAGTCTGCAGCCAAGACCAGAGGACTTTCCTTGTCCAGCCATGACCTGTCTCAGGCTGGAGAAGAAAGATCCACCAGTCTACCCAGAGCTGAACTGAAAAGCACTTTCCGCTCAGGCACATGTACTGACAAGACTGAGTGCAGCACACCCTAGGACCTGGAAATGCCATGTCACAGATGCTCCAGGCCCACCTCGGGCTCCGTCACTAATAATTTGTGACTTCATGGAGACCATATGAAAATGATCAACAAGAATTAGGAGCGGAGTGCCCAGCTGTTCTTCTGTGATTGTCATGAGCTCAGAATATGTCAGGTTTGCAGTAAAGAAAAGGCCAGGAGAAAAATACACAGGCACCCAATGTTTCCTTCGGTGTTTGGTTTTTGCAGCCACCCCAGGGTGCTGAGTGTGTCTGAGGTGCGTGCATCTGCAGTCCTAACAACAGCATTTTCACGTAGTCACAGGTTTTGTGATCAAATGCACACGGTGGCGGGGGGTGCTAAGGGGGGGAGGACACACTGTGGCTCCACAGCCCCACAAACTTCAGGCCATGGCATCTCTCCCCTCTCAACCCCGTCACTCTCATTCACAGCCTTTGAAGGCATTCTTCACTTTCTTCTTCTTATTAGTCACTGAGATGACAATTTCTTTCCTCTCTCCTTCAGGCTCCTGGGTTGTCAGGGCTTGTAAGTGATCATCTTCGCCCCAAGATGTCACAACACACGTGGAATTTAGTTCCGATGAAGGGGAGATTACACTAAAGCACTTCCACTCGTGACTGCACAAAGCCACAGACAGACAACCGTATTCTAGGAGCCAGCACAGGAGTCTGCGCTGCTTGTCTAGGAAGCACACCTAGGACAGCCATGCAAGCAAAAAGGCAGGCTGAGCTCACACTCAGGTCACACCTTGTCTTCTGCTCAGCGTTTCAGGTGGCGCCCAACAGGGTTGGCCTCAGGCTCACACTGCACGGGGGGGGGCTGTGTGACCCTGACACTGTCATCTTGTTAATAAAGTTCCCCACTGTGAGTTTACCACACAAGGTAAGTTCAGCAAAACCGTCATCCAGAGATCTGACGGAGGCCATCGTCACTCCCATTAGCATCAGGGAGGATGGTGGCAGATAGGTCACCGGGGATGAGAACATATGTCTTCTAGAAAAAGAAACTTAGATTGTGTGAAAGGCTCTGGAACTGTCAATCAGCCTCTCCTCGAGCAGCTCTCACACAAGTATGGGGGAGAGGAAGTCCAGGCCCGGGGACAGGGCTGATGTCGGCTCTTTGGGTGACAGTGCCGCTGGTTCTGCCTGTCCTGCAGACAGGCAGACGTTTCTCTTCTCCACTTCTCAGACCTTCAGCGCAGGCTCACAGCATGCACTGAGTGGACACCAGCCAAATGAAGGGCACAGCCTGTGGAAGAAGGCTGGCAAAAGAAATCAAGGATCTTACTGAATGCTTTCTAGATCCTTCCCTGGGCTTGCTGAGGAGAAAATTCCCCTACATTTTTGTGACTTCTTCCTTCATTTTGTCACTTCTGTAACAAGGCTATGGAGCAGAAAGAATGAAACACAAACAAGGGCACTGTTTTACTCTGACTCAGCCAAGCCTCAACCTGCTCCTGGCAGCCGGATGACCTGGCTGGCACCGGTGGAGCCAGTGTCACCTGGAGACAGGCTGTCGAAGCCCAGTCAGGGCTGCCTTTCCCCTTCTCTCTCTTCATGACCACAGCTGGGAAGTAAAGCAGACTCTCCTATCAAAATCCACAGAAGTGAGACTCCCAAAGCTTAGAGGGTCTCCGAGGTCACCAGTGCCACTGACCTGTGATGGATAAGCAGCAGGAGGGAGGGGTCATTGGGTACCAGAGCTACTCCCCAGAAATCTCCCTGTCGTGGGCACGGGCCCCTCACTCACCTTCAGGAAGCTGCAGCAGCATGGTGGCGAGAGATGGGGTGGCGTATGGGAAGTATGTCTGCAGTGCAAACCTGAGCTGGAGCAGAATCAAGTGTGATACAGCGATGAGTGTCGGTACACAAAACCCTGCCTCCTCTGTCCCAAGGACCCATCATACGAACTTGCTCCGAACATTTCTTAAACTTAATTTCAATGTGTGCTTCTACAAATACCATCCAGAAAAATGAGCCTTTTAAAGTCACCTTCAGGAACTTAAGAATAACGAAGCTATACTCTTGGTGGTTTTTAAGTTCTTGACTCACATGAGCCCGGTCACAGACATTTTCTGTTGTGAGCTACCAGAGTAGTGTGGCAAGACACTGGTGTTTGAGCAGCAAAAACATAAAGTGGTGCTCATACACCCCGAGCACTGAAGACAACAACTACCCAGACCCCGGAGGCACAGGGGTTTTGAATGCCTTTGCAAAGAAAGGGGCAGAATGTGGACAACAGTCAGAGTACAGGCTGTAGGTACAGTCTGATGAGTCTGGGGACTACATTTCTACCCCCACGTGCCTGTGACCACCCTGTCAATCCCTCCACCCCACCCTGGCAACAAATATTTTAATTTTGCTAAGACAGGTTAGTTTTGCTTATTTATTTATTTGTGCACGTGTGAGGCACTGGGGTGTGAACTCAGGGCCTCAGGCTTGCTAGGCAGGTGCTCTCCCCCACTGGGCTATGCCTCCAGTCTTTTTTGCTTTAGTTTTCAGGTAGGGCCTTGGGGTTTTTTTGCTTGGGGTTGTCCATGACTGCAGTCCTCCTACCTAGCTGGGTTATAGGTGCATCCCACCTTGGCAAGTGTATTTTGTGAGATACATCTTGCTAACTTTTGCCAAGGCTGGTCTCAAGCCACAGTCCTTCCATCTCTGTCTCCCACATAGCTACGATTATAGATGACTGCCACCCATGCCTGGATCTTGTCCTTGCTTTTTTTTGGGGGGGTGGGCAGCACTAGGGTTTGAACTCAGGGCCTCATGCTAGCTGTGCAGGCACTCTACCACTTGAGCCACTCCACCAGCCTGGCTTTTGCATTTTCATGCCAGTTTTAGAGTTTGCTGTCAATTCCCACTTTTAAAAGTCAGCTGTAGGTGTGGCTGGTGACAGGGCCTGTCTGGCGTGCACAGGCCCTGGGTTTTATCCCAAGCACCACAGAGGAGGGGTGCTGTGGGGTCACCCGGGAGGAACTGAAGCAGATATCTCACCATCCGTCCTTCTGTCCAATTGCTTTCTCTCTCCCTATGCACAAGTTCACTGAAGTTGCTCTGAGCAGTGCTTTTCAGTTTTCAGTTAGAGGGGTGAGCATGGATCTGTTTACTTCTTCAAAGTACGTGTTTCACTGTCACGTACTTTGAAGCCTGGCCACAAGACACATTGTCCATTTATAAGCGCTCCTCCTGAGGACCTACTAATCGGTCACTATGAACTATTGAAGATGGCTTCATCGGCTGCAAGCAGTGAGCTCTTGTTCCCTCCCCTTGCCTTCAGTTTGTCTCTGCAGACAACACTTTTTGTTGTTTTGTTTAAAATCCAGTCTGTCTTAAATAGAATATTTAATTTTCATTTAACTTTTGTAAATACTATGTATTTTTTGGTTTGGTTTCTTTGTTTTTCCGATACTGGGGTTTGAACTCAGGGCCTCACACTTGCTAGGCAGGCACTCCGCTGCTCAAGCCACATCCCCAGTCGTTTTGCTTTAGGTTGTTTCTCATGCAGGGTCTCAGGCTTATGCCTGGGCCAGACTCGGACCTCAGCTCTCCTATCTCCACCTCCCAACTAGCTAGGATTACAGACAAACACGACTGCACCTCCACAGGTCTATCTTTTCTTGTTTCCTTTCGCTCATCTTTTTCTTTCCTCCACAACCCACAGCTCTGCCATTTCCCACCTCGAGTCAATGCGCTTGAAGTCCTGATCCCCTTGCCCCATGCTTCCAAGGGGAGAGTGGGGTTGGCTCAGTTGCTTCCCCTTCAGGGGATGAGGCTGCCCTGTTTCTGTCTGCTTTGTTAGCTGCTCTCTGGTGCCTTCCAGTGGGTCTGTAACAACATTTTGCCTGAGTCTGTAATTTTCCTCTGGGGACTTAGTCCGGTCCATCATCAGACTGCTGAGCTGCTGGAGCCGGAACCTGGCCTCACGGCTGCTTGTCTGGGCCACTGTGCAAGCTTCAGGCGATGCCCCTGCACACTTTGCCCACTGTCTGGTGGGCAAGACCCAGTGGGAAGCTATACTGTGCTGCCCATGCAGAACGGGCAAAAGCAGAGAGAGAACTGGCAGTGAGGGGCACCTACATCCAGCATTCCTGACGAGGGACAGAATGTTTGCTAATGGTGTAAGTGAGCACCCCACTTCTGCAGCCAACCCCACACTGTCCTTCTCTACTCCCAGTAACCAGGCACCTCTGCTCCTCAGAGTCATCCCGGATGCCCAATGCAACAATGCATGCAAAAGAAGACAAAATCTGGAAACAACCCCGTGCCCACCCACTGGCAAATGTCTACTGTGGTACATTTGCACAATGTATTCCTACGCAGCCACACTTCCCCGCGGCCACGGGGTGACACAAAACAGTCTTTGTAACGTGCCAAGTGGAAAGGCAAGTCTGGAAAGAGTATGTGTACTGTGCTACTACAAAGCACAAAAACAACCCAAACTAAATCAAACGTGCTAGGCAGTCATATGTAGTGATCAAAGTATTTTCAGAAAAAGCAAAGGAATTATAAACATAGAATTCAAAGACTGTGCTTATCTGGGGTGAGAAAGGCAAAGAGATGCAGGCCAGAGGGCACAGACAGACAGAAGATATCAGCCGTAGTGGTCCAGGTCTTGTCTGGAGGTTGGGTTCACTGATATCCACTTTAAGAATGAGCAAGTGTGACTGGTGGAGTGGCTCAAGTGGTAGAGAACCTGCCTAATAAGTGCAAGACCCTGAGTTCAAACTCCAGTACTGCCAAAAGAAAAAAGAATAAGTGAATGAATGACTGGAGGAGGATCATGCACCCAGGACTGTGACTGCCCAGAGATGGACACATAAGGCACAGAAGAGAAATGACAGGTGGATACAGAGGCATACGCAAAGGTAAGAGGCTACCGTTCTATTTGAGCCAAGGGTAGGTGATGAATTCTTGTTTCTTTCTGCATCCCTGCCCTGACTCACACCAGACTCCAGGACTCTGGACACATGTGGCTGATCAATGGTTCTACATTTGGACCAAGTACGACTCTGGTCCAAATCCACAATGACCAAGGACAACAGAAACAAACGTGCTCGAGCTAATGCTAAGAGCAAAGCGACTTTCCTGAATCTCAGGAGGTCAGGTCCTGCCTGGGAACCTAAGCACGCACTGCGAGGATAATGTATTTACAGTCAGGTCTCAAAATACGCATGAGTGGCGGCTGTTATTGTTCTGCCACGCTCTCCACCTGAATTCCAGGCTGGGGATCAGTGGTAACGCTGCTGTAGTCTAGATGACACCCCAGAGAAAGACGGGACGGGAAGAAATGAGTCACAAATATTTGTCATTGCCTTGGAGAGCAGAAATGTCAGCTCAGAGCTGTGTGGGTTAGGAGGGCTCAGCACCCTAGGACTGCCCTCAGAAGTCAGGCTGCAGTGAGCACCACCATGGTCCATGCCTTCTTCACAGGAGAGGCACAGTAGGCCAGTACCCCCACAAAGCGAAGTGCCACATGAGCACTAAGCATGTGGCCATGAGAAATGAAGGCTGGTCACAGTGACCAGAGGTGACCACTCTTGGGAAGAGAAAGACCACTTTATGCTGTCCTTCAGCAGCCCCGGAAATCACGGCCTGGCCTCTGCTGAGGCCCCTGGAGTCCTCCGGTTTACTGATGGTATCTAACTCGCACCAGGCCACTGCTGTTCTTTGCTCCCTTCCTGTCCTTCTCAGTACCTCCTTCCCCTCCCACACCCATTCACATTTGCCTCTGAGAGGATGAAGGAGTCCGTCACTCAGAATGCCCAGCAGTGCTAGGTAATAGGTGGCAGCTCCTGCCAGCGTGTCCCAGTCAGATGCCAGGGAGCCTCTTGCAGGCCAGAGGCTCAGAGTGACAGACAGGGCCAGGGGAATTCTCCATGCAGGGCAACGTGTGCCCACACAACAGCCGCTCCCAGACACAGCGGTGAGAAGAGATCCTCCTGACTTCCTTTCAGTGCAAATGGTTTCACCTTTGAAGGGCAGTCTTCTGGAAGCTTTCTCCGTGAGCAAAACAGTCGGTCAAAATTTTTGAAAACAGGGCTGGGGTGTGGCTCAGCGGAAGAGCATGTGCCTAGAATGTGAGGTCCTGGATTTGGTCCCCAGCCCATAAAAACAAACATAATTTCTGAAAATAGAGTGTTCCTATCAGGTGATTAGCCAAATACTCTTAGCAGCCTATTTTCTTCTGGAGTGAGTGGGGAGCATGTGACGTACCTGCTTGTTCTCTCTTTCCAGAGCCTCTACAAAGCACCGAGTGAACACCTGAAGAAGAGCCAGGATTTCTGGGGCTCCATCAGTTTCCAAGAGTGTGATCCTGAACAATACAAAGTCAGGTCATGACACACCAAATGCTTCCTGCAGCAAACCTGTGAGCTCAAACTACACGAAGGCCAAAATGGACACCCGTTTGTCCCACGAGCTTCACCGACTTCTCAACCCACCAGGCTGCAGTTAGTCCCTGCTGAGGCAGGAGGCAAGAGAGGCTGGCCTCCCTTTTCTGAGCACATGCTCTGAACTGCACAGTGTGAAGTAGTGCTCTTTGTGGGTTCTGGGGTGCTGAGCTCGTGGCTCTGAGACTTGCTGCTCTCTCCAGCCTCTGTGCTCCATGGGCCCAGACGTGCGACTGCAGCAGGACTTCTCTCACAGAGCAGCTGGAGAATCCAGGTGTACCTAGTTTGGTTTCCACATATTCTCATATAACTAGCTTTTCTTTATGTTGGTTTAAGGGAAAAAAAACAACAACAACAACTCAAACTTGGCTAGCTTCAAACTAGCAACACTACCCTGCGTTCCTACTTCTGTGGTCATTAGCTTGACGCTGCCATATTTCAAGACCTACTGAAGTGGGGAGTTAGTTATTTGTTCTTATAAAAATTCCTTTCCCAGGAGCCTGCTGTCTGCCCACATCCCGTGGGGCGATGGGAGAGGCAGGCGGGGTGGAGGCAGGTCCAGACCCTGCCGCCCTCATCCATGTGAGGCCGGAAGCACTCAGGGTGGCGAGCTTCCCCGAAGGGGCCTAGCCTCAGGACTGGAACGCCTGCAGACAGACAGGGCAGCCTCATGTGGTGTTCAGTGAGCTCCTCGCCTCTCACCCAGGAGGACCTGCATCATCACATTAAAGATCAGTGTGCTGTAAACACGCACAGCTTCAGAAGAGCTGTTAAGAATGGCTTATTTATTTATTTTTCTTAGCTTTCCTTGGCTGCAACATCTTTCACAAAGACTGGTCAGCCCTCATGTGGTGAGGAGAGGGTCCTGCTATGCTCTATTCTGAGCTGGGAAGAGCCCCACATGACTATTTCATGATTTTAACACCTCACTCAGCTCTACCTTTCTGTCATTGCTACTGGAATATAAAAAGACCCACAGAAAGAAAGTGGTCTTAATTCTTAGGTGTAAGCTTTTAAATATACATTGACTTCTGAGTTTCTTCCAAAAAGCTCAGAGGGATAAGAAGGAACCAGAAACCCTTCAAGTCCTCGTGGCACAGCCAGAGACTACTGCAGGATTTTGTATTCATGTTTGGAAGCTGAACATTTTTGCATCACCTGCTAGCAGAAAGAACATACTATTTACCTGAACATTTCATCGACCATTCTGAATATGGCAGGGTGGCAGGCTGCTTGAGGCTGTAAAAGCAAAACACTTCATTGGTAACAGCTGGAGTTATCAGGCAAAGGAGTTGCCCAGGGTTGCCGGTGTTAGAAAAAGAACAACTGGTGCACAGAAACAAACAAGCAAATCCAACCCAAACAGACGTGAGCAGTGGCTCTCCTTAAACAAGGAGTCATGGACAAGCTTGGCTTTCTCTGTACTCCTTTTGCCCCACACTTCTATAATAAGCCCACATGATTCAGAAAAAAAGTACATTTCTTGGACAATTTAAAAATACCCTCTACCGGTATTTTTACCGGTATAGTCTACCACAGGGAGACTCAGAGCCTGCCATGTGGCTAGTTTTTCTTAAATGCCACACATCTGGCTACCTGAGCTGTCCTAGAAGTGCCCCAAGGTTAGATCTCTGCCTGCTGTCGTTGGTAATGAGTGTGTAATAAGGGAGGGTTACAATTATGACTGAGGACACCAGTGACCACTACCGCAGCAGAGTAAGTAACTTCACATTTGGTGCACTGTGAACTTAACAGCCGAAATCATTGACTATTTAGGATGAGCTGGGGATCATGAAAGGAAGAAAGCGTACAATCATGACAAATGATGGGAGATATCTAGTTTACTAGAGTACTTTGGTGACAGGTTTCAATGCCTTGAATCTGCAGAAGCTGGCCTGGTCTCCTGTAGTCTCCATGGGGGTCTCCGTAGGTCTGATCCAGGCTCTACATATTTTTGGTTACAACTTAAACATGAGTTTATGCTAGACAGAAATTCCCATGTGTGTTGTAAAATAGGTATTTTACAGTAGAATCCAAATGTTAGCGAGTGAGGCTCTCAAGGGAATTTCCTGATGTCACATTGCACTTGGTGACATAGCCTTGCCAGACGTTTTTCACAGCCCCCCTTCAGTGAGAAGGAGGAAGAGCTCCCCTCTGAAGTTTTGGGCCACCCTGTGCAGGCATGGTGTTTTGCAACGTTGAACGTGCGCCATCTAGTGCTCACACACCAACACTACAGCCGCCCCAGGGACAGGATGGCGTACTCTTTCGTTATTTTGAAGGAGAGGCATTTGTGATTTGCAAGTAAAGTTTTTTACTTGTTAGCCCATGATCTCTAATGCTTCACTGATGCGTATATTTTGTCTAAAAGAAACCAACTTGAAATTCTCTTAAATTCATTATCTACTTAAGAAAGTAACTTGACAAAGCAAAGACAGGTTAGTTCTTGCCTTCAAACTTGGCAAGTCAGTTAGTCTGTCTGTTTCTCAGCCTCTCTATAAATAGTAACTGTTATTAAGAGGTCACTGGATGCACATCCAGAAAATATCATTAAGTTTCTAGGTATTCATGGTAGGAAAAAAATCAAACCATATGACTTGAAGAAATGTGATTCAGCTCAGTTTGCCAGAAGAATCTACAAAGTAGTTGTCAAAAGGGAATTTACATAAAGGCCACCTGCCTCTAGAACAAAGTTTTAAGACCCTATAGCACTGCCACATGCCCACGGGCAGGCAGAGAGCCTGACAGAAATGAAGATCAAAGCTGGAGACCGAAAACCAGAACCATTTCCTTTTGTTCTAAGTGGCTTAACTACCCCAAGCTGGTAAGGTTTTGATGTAGCTGAGAACCACTCAGTTCTGATTACAACGATTTCTAAATGGCAAAGGATGGTTCGAGGAGTGCCCAAGGAGTGCCCTGGGACTACCAAGAGGACCACAGCGGGAAGCAGGTGAGAACATTCTACCTTCATCTGTCAAAAGGGAACAAGAGTTTGCGCACACTTTCCTTTCATGCAGTGTTTGCCAGTAAAACAGCTCAATTAGGTGTTTCAAATGTCTTCACACACAGACAGACCAGCTCTGCGGTTGGGACTGCCTTTCTTCCAAATCTCAGACCCTTGATTCCTTAGACCTTGTAAAAAGTGAGATACCACGAGGCAGGAGAGCCCTGCTGAAACAGCCCTGCAGGGACATGAGGATGGGACAGGCCTCGCCAGTCACCCCAGCTGGGAGCAGCTCGTTCTCACACATGCCCTTTATTGTAGTTTTTAAAATAAAACCCTTTATACATAATTTTAGGGTCAGCAAGTCCCCTCATGGAGACCGAAGTGCGCCCAGGTCAGGCATGGGTCCCTGTGACATCAAATCACAAAAGCACACTTAAGCTGTTTTTCTTATCAAGAGAATCTTCCAGAGTTAATGGTTTTAATATATGTTCCTTTGGCAGCCACACCCCCCTTCCCAATGCCCCTCCTTCCCATCTCTGTACAGCATCTTCTGAGTGACAAGGCACACATTTAGCCCCCTGCCAAGAGGGCTGCCCTGCATCTCAGGGCTCTGAAACCCAGAGTGATTGTCCTTTCCATAAAAACAAGGAAAGAAAACCTTTCCTGGGTTCCATCTGCTCATCTGTTTTTCTCAGATCTACCAAAATCTGTTCCTTCCCAAACTCTCTTCTCCATCTGCCCTAATAATATTCATGTAAAGGTTATTTCAAGTCTGGGGAAACCATGTAACCAGAAGGCCATGTTAACTCACAAGCCATAAGTTCTATCCTTCTTTCCTTCACCAATTCTTCCACTAAATGTTGGAGCTGCAGCCCCTTAGCCTTCCTTTCCTGGAGACCACACTACACTGTCTCTGGGTCTAAGAGACTCTTTGCCCCCACCTTACCCACCAGTCCTGAACCGGCTCCCATAGCTACCCAGACCTGTACTGCTTATCTCTGCTCTGCCCAGGACAGCCCATTCCTATCCCTCAATGAAACCAGGGAAGATGGCATCAACACAGAGAAGTGCACAGTAAGGATGGGAGGAGAGGGAGGGAGAGCCAACCAGTCACAGGGCAGCAAGATCTGTGCAAGTCATGTTGGTTTAATCTTCTACTTTCACACCAACTCATCATTATTGAAAACCACCTGCTATGTGAAAGAGGCCTGAGAACACAAAACAGCGCAGTTCTTAGGGAGGGAGGGAGGGAGGGGAGAGAGAGAGAGAGAGAGAGAGAGAGAGAGAGAGAGAGGGAGATGAGAAGGAGAAAACCAGAAATGGAAATCATACATGTTCTGAGGTAAAGTGAAAGTGAATACCTCCTACAAAAACCTAAATTAAGGCCATAAATGAACAGAAAAACCACCATCCAGTCTTTTTGGATCATCTCCCCCTTCAGAATCAAGAGAGAAACAGCAGATGAGTGAGAAGCTGTAGTGATTCTCTTTCCCCGGCCTATTTCAATGTAGTTTAGTAATTTTTTTACTCAGCTAGTGGTCACCTGAGGGGGCCTTCCCTCTACCCCACCCACCAGTGGCGTCCAGTCCACGTGAAGCCAACCCCGGCCCCGCTCTCCTGACAGGGCAAAGCCCTCCTCGCTTACATCCAGACATAAATCAAGGGGTGACTATCTGCACCACAACAAGCCTTCTCACTAGATAGTTCCCACAAGAGTCGATGGTAAACTCCTTTACTGAGTCAAAAAAACGATTTGTTGGTAGGAAGATCTACTTACATAAACGTCTATTATGTAAATAAACAAGTGTCTATAAATACATATTTGTCTTTTTCTTTTCTGTTTTCAAAACGCTAAACATAAAACTAGGTTTCCCTTCACACTTTAGGATCTATTTTGTTTTAAGACATTCAAGTTCCCTGCAGATTTAGCTTGGAAGAATGGTTCCTTTCTTTTTAATCTTTCCCAGATGTTGTCTGTACCACAGCAATTTTTTTCAGCTCTCCATAATGCAATTATTGTTTAATTAGTGATAAATCTGTCATTCCTGGGCCTAAAAACTTAACAAGTACCAAATGTACTTTTGCGTTTTAAATGTACACACGCTCTCCTGCATCGGGACACAGGGTGGGAGTTGTGCACAGGGTGCCCGGCTTTGGAGGCTGGTCCCTGTCCTCACCCATGCTTCTCCCCAGCGAGCTCCGGGACCATCGACCATTGCAGCAGGGGCTCATCAGCCCGCCTGCTGCTCAGTGCAGCTCTGCATGGCGTGGCAGGCCTTGTGGGTCCTGCTGCTCGCTTTGCTGCAGCTTTTCCCTCTCCCCGTCTCTGACTGGCTGCAGAGCCTCGCATCTGCAGTAGTGAACGCCTGGGCTTCCTCTAGACAAGGGTGGGGCGTCTGGCGCCCCCTGAGGCCTACGCTGGCAAGTGCAGCTGCTGTCCTGGGGACAGGAGCCTCCACCACACTTCCCTTCTCCACCTCTGCTAAATCTCCCACTTCAGCTCTTGTTAAATTCTGTGAATCACATTAAACAGCTCACAGGCCGTGCGTGAGGGCTGCTAACGAAAGCGCAGGAAAGGAAATCCCCAGAGCAGCAGCGAGATGCTGTTCACACAGCATCAACAGCATTATCAGGTGGGGTGGCCACTCTTCGGAATCGTGGACAGAAGTTCTTTTCCCTCTTGGCGCAGCTAAGATTGCTGTCTGGAGAGTGAAGCAAACACATTCCAGCTCCTATAGAGGACACCAAGGCGTCTGGATGTTTTCTATTCTAAGCTCTTATTAGACAAAGACACACTTGTTACAGAGCCACGAAGACTTCTAGGTAGGAGAATTAATGAGGACTGTTCTCCGATTTAAGATCTGAATAAAACAAAACCCAAACCCACCCTGCCTCCCAGCCCCGCTCCTCTCCGGGGCAGCTCTGGACCCGCCACAGCGGCTGAGGCAGGGGGGTCAGCCCGGAAGGAGCGCAGGGAGGGCATGGGAACCAGGGTGCCCTGGGCCCTGGCACACAGCACCCGGCAGCCAAGCAGGGCCACCCTGCTACCCGGCCAGCCCTTCTCATTCAAATGTGGAATCCAAACAATAGCTTTCTGGGCTCCACAAACAGAACAGTAAGGGGAAACACAGCATCCTTGATTCAGGGCCAGCCTTGGGAAACCCACAGTGCCAAGCAGTCTGCATAATTAGCAAGTGCCTTTCACTGCCTGCGTGACATCAGTCTCCAAGGTCAGGGCTGAGGCTTGGATTAGGTCTGCCAGTGCCTGTGCTGTCAAGGAAACACAAGGCCATCTGCCTTTGAGAGTTTCAGTTCGCACAGCAAGTGACAAACTGGGGTTAATACCTCCATTTATTTGGGGGGCCACCAACTGTGGCAGGCAGCCATGTCTTTGGGGTCAGTCCAGACCATGGAAGCCAAAGGCAAATGGGTTTGAAAACTTCTCTATTTTAGAAGACAAATGTATACACCTCTACACACATGTACATTTTATATAGACTTCATTTATAACTCAGGTGACATTAGACTAGTGACTCACTGTGCATAGTCTTAATGGAAAATACCAGGCCTCCAAAGTCCCTGAAAGACCAAAGCACACTCGGAGAGGTCATTACACTTTGCACACTTTCATCTTTTGTTTTTGTTACGTTCTGGTAACTACAGAATTCCCAGGACTCACTCTGGATAGTCCCCAGAGATGGAAGTGTAATTAACAGTGTTCCACATAAAACAAGGTCCGCAGACCATCACACTTTAATCACTCTCAGAGCCCAGCTCTAATGCAATAGGCGTCGGGTTTCCTCTGCAGCAGGGCGCAGCGGCCCAGCAGTCACTCCTGGCGTGCACATAGTGCGCTGCGATAAGCCAGCTGGATGATGCAATTAGGAAGCAGATTCTTCAGGTTACCCCGTAATCACCCAGGCAGGTCACAGGCCTCAGCAGCCTGCTTGGCATTCTAGCACCGCAGGCCCGGGTGCAGGAGAACAACTCACACCAATCAGGGCCTTCCAGCTCATCGTGTATATTGTAATTACCTCCTTGAGCCACGAGGCACAGAGGCACAGAGAGGTCACATCCTGCTGATGTCACAATAAATTACACCAAATAACACACTCTAGTATCCCCCTCTAACCCCAGTAAAAGCTCTGCATTGCTACACAGATCCTGACAAATGCTTTGGAGACCAAACGACTTTGAAGTTGCCTGATGGGGGGAAGGTATGACCCACTCTCAACTGGACTGAAGATTACACAGCATGATGTCCAGTGGGAGGGGCTGTGTGCATTCCCTCTCTCTCAATCTGCTGTACTTACTAAAAGGACATGGAGAAGGTTCAGGCAAGGATCATGAAGGTCACAGCAACATCACAGACTTTGAGAAGACTCCAGCACCCTGGAGGCACATAGCCTAGTCACTCTATTTTGCCATCAAAGAGGACAGAGAAAAAGTAACCAGAATTTTAGCATGCACAGTTGAGTTAGAAATGCAGAAATATGCCAGACAATAAAGGTAATTTACTACCTTAAATCACCTGGACTAGGCAGTCAGAGGACTTCCAAAAGATTTTATTTTGAATTGTGCTTTGATTATTTTTATATAAGGTGCATCCTTACTTCTTGCCTTAACGTGCAAGTCTTCTGCAAATGCTTAGGTCAAGTAGTAATTATCCATAAAAAAGATTCTCTTGGGCTCTCTTGGTTAATAGATCCCCCTCTCTCTTTTCCATCAGGAGAGACAGCATGGCTACAGAGACAGTGCTGCCCTGCACACTCCACACGGAAGCAGAGAGAGGCCAAGAAAGAGGAGGGAGAGGAAGAGGCAACCTGTACAGTCTCCAACTGAAACAAGAAAGAAGAAACAGGTGGTTTCAACAGAATCAGAGAGAGGCATCCAGGAGGGGTGCCGTGCGACCTCAGGGCAGCCTAGCAAAGGCCAGGATGGCACTGCCCTCTGTTTCCTGGCCAGTGACTTGAGATCAACACTGCTCCGAACTCATGTCTTATCTGTAGAACAGAAGACAGTCTGGGTGCCAAATCCCCTGGGGTGATGGAAGTGATGGGAAACACGGTGCGGTCTTTGCCATTCCTGGAAGACAGCATAGCACCCGCACTGTGTGGTGTGTGTTTGGCTGTGCTGTGACTCTCATGAGCTTACGTAAGTGGGTATTTTAATTATAATTAGTGTAGCGCTTACTCCATTTTGGGCTTTCTCCTGTAACGCAAGTTGTAACTGAACCTTGACAAGCAGTTAAATAAGTGCCACAATGACAACTGCGAGTTGATACACAGGATGGTGTCCCAGACCTCTCCCTCCAAAACTCAGCACCAGAAAGCTGACACAATGCCTCTTCCAGGGGTGCCAGTGCTGTGCCTTCAGCAGCCCGTGAGACACAGCTCAATGGGCCTGCCCTGTAGCTTCACTGCCAGAGGCCCTGTCTGAGGAGGCCAGTCCTTCACTTCCTTGCTGACGAGTGTGCTCGGGCAGTGTCTGAGTCGTCGTTACACTATGCTAGGTCATTTCTTTTGTGAACACAGGGTCTCACCATGTTGCCCAGGCTGGCCTTGAACTCCTGGCTTAAATGAGCCTCTTGTCTTAGCCTCCTAAGTAGTCAGGACTACAGGTGTGCATCACTGTGCTCAGCTTTCTTTTACCTATATTTTCATATATCCCTTTTACTTATTCTGTTTTTGTGTGTCATGCAAGAAATCAGTTCATCTGGAAACTTTTTTGCCTCCTATGGCTTGTCACTTAATAAAAGGACCTGCCCCAATAAACTGAACTGACACTTTTCAAAGGAAGAAGTCCAAATGGCCAAAAACACATGAAGAAATGGTCACCATCTCTAGCCATAAAGGAAATACAAATCAAAACCACACTAAGATTCCATCTCACCCCTGTTAGAATTGCCATCGTTAAAAACACCACCAATAACAGGTGTTGGCGAGGATGTGGGGAAAAAGGAACCCTAATTTACTGCTGGTGGGAATGCAAGCTAGTTCAATCACTGGAAAAAAATTTGGAGCTTCTTAAAAATCTAAACATAGATCTGCCATACGATCCAGCAATCCCACTCCTGGGGATATACCCAAAGGAATTCAACACAGGTTACTCAGAGGCACCTGCACACCCATGTTTATTGCAGCACTGTTCACAATAGCCAAGTTATGGAAACAGCCAAGATGCCCCATTGCCAACAAATGGATTAAGATAAGGTAGCATAATATATACAATGGACTATTATTCAGCCATAAAGAAGAATGAGATTATGTTGTTTGTAGGTAAATGGATGGAATTGAAGAGCATCATGTTAGGTGAAATTAGCCAGGTTCAGAACAAAGGTCATATGTTTCACTCATGCATGGATGATAGATTCAAAAGAAAAATGTATACAAAAAGTATAAACATGATCCCACATGCACGCACGCACGCACACACACACACACATACCACGTTTGTGGGTATACATTCATAAAAACATGTTAACAACATTGGGACTGTTTGAGGGGACAAGGGGAAGGGAGAAGAAAAGAATGATGGAGAGTGAATAATACTGAAATACATTCTATGCGTGCAGGATGACGGCACAGAGAAAGGCACTGAAAGCAGATGAACAGCAAGGGTGAGGAGGAGGGTAGAGGGGTGACCTGACTAAAGTGCAACATGCTTGCAGGTGAAATGCCATGGTGAGCCCCTTTGACAATGAAAGACAGGAACGTAAAGCAGGTCCTGACAGGAGGTGGGTGCTGATGGAGGGGAGGTGGAATAAGGTCAGTGTACTTTATATGCTTGTATGAAAACAGAATAATAAAGCCTGTTGGAATTGTTTTAAGTGGGGGGGATGAGGGAGAATAATGGTGGTGATGAACCTACAAGGCACACTGTAAGCATATATGGAAATGTCACAACAAATCCCCTGTAAAACTAACATATGCTTAAAAAAAAAGCCTTTTTTTTGTTTTTGTTTTTTGAACTAAAAGGGACCTGTTCCTCTTGTAAGACGCACATTCTGAAGGTGGAACTGGGGGGACAGGCTACCCTGGCTGGCTTAGTGTGACATGTAGTTTTTGGATGTTTCTTTTAAATCCTTAGGAATCCCTTGGGGAACAGCACTCCACACCCCATGAGAAGGTCAGGTCATGGAACAGTTCCTTTTCTCCTGGGTTCAAGTCTGTCAATGGGGCGGTAGGAAGGTAGGCCTAGGAATACAGCTGGCGTGTCTTCTTTAAACTAAATAAGGAGATACATCAACAAAGCATTCCTTTAGGGAACCCCTCCACTACCCCAAAAAAGTCTGTTGTCCAAATGTTCCTTCTTGAGGATATGTAATACAAGGTGCAAAAGTCAAGAAAGTCTCCCCAGCACACCAAGTGTGTGGGAAAGTCCCCAAAGCTGCTTCCAACAGGACACGTGCACGTGTCATTACTTTTAGAGCTCCAATGCCTTTTGTTTGCCCCCCCTCCCCTGATTCCTGGCAGCCCTTTAAGGGTTCTTCCTCCCCCAGAGTGCAGCACGTACCAGCCATGAAGCTTGTATATAGCTTTCTGTCCTTCTCAGACAATTTCTCTCGCTGGAGATTAGCTTTTCAAACAGATGCACCATTGCTTTTTCAAGGCTGGGCAGATGCCGAAGCCAAAGGCTGATGATGGCAGACATGGGCAGAGAGATCTTCCTCCTTCCAGCAAGAAAGAAACAAAATGTTAAGCAGAAAGAGATTTCTGGAAGAAAAGGAAGATTAACAATGTCCAAAATGCAATGACTAATCCAATCTGTGGAGCTTCTGGCCCTGGTCTTGACAGTAGTCAACATTCATAGCATCCGTGAATACTTGCAGCCTACTCCTTTGCAAAATGATGCAATTATACCTCCATTCAACTTGCCTTAAGAAATTAAGAGAAATGCTTTCCAAAAGGATAAGCAGGTATATAGTGAAGAAAGAAGAGAGGATAAAAAACTGAGTTGCAGAAAGGCTTTGAGACGTCCCAGTAAATGCAGTCCCTAAGTTAAGAAATAGTTATGTCTGAAAGTTTACAGTGGGATCAGGGCCACAATCTGCACACTGTTTGACTCTTCAACCTCAGTTTACCATCTGCAAAGTGGGCTGACCGTGCTTATGGTGCTGTTAGAAGGATCCAATGACCTGCCTGGTGCAGAACACAATGTAAATATCCAATGGCAGTAGACACAGATCTGCTGTGTGAACGTTTTCAAATACTTCTTATGAGCAGTCTCATGGATGGTGGTTATGGCCTGGCTGAAGCTCAGAGGGCTAGAGCCACCTGTCTCCTACAGCTTCATTTCCATTGGAAAGTCCTCTTGTGTCTGAGGTTTGGGGTTCCACTTCCCTTCCTGAAAGGGTGCGAGGGGCATGTGTGGACCTCTGAGTCCCTAGCAGTAGCTCTGGGACACCACATCCCACATAGGAGCATGCTATTGGTAAGGACAGCTAAAATTGCAGCAGAGTTCCCTGTCCCCTTTCCAGGGCTCCCTCACTTCTCTGCAGAGCTGCACAAAGACCAGGGACTGGGCCTGGGATGGAGAAACAGGAGCTGCTTCCACTGGAATCTCCCTTCTCCTCATGTGGACCTCACCTGGACTGACTCTGAGATTAGGGGAGCTGAGGAAGAAGTCGGGGTGGGCGGGCATGCCCGCCTTCATGGCTGAGCTTGAGCTTCAATTGGGCAGGCAGCTTCCCCCATCTCTCCACCTCCCATACCTGGCAAGGAACTGCCATGGTACCCACAGTACTGGACGGGCCACTTACCTGGATGGAAAGAAAGGAAGATACCAGAACTGTAAACAGTCTGCCAGGAGCTGGGTGTGGGGTGTGTGGACTTTGTGCCAGAGGCACAGGCAAGCAGACTATCAAGTAGTCTGCTGAGCTGGGACTATGGGGGAGGTCTGGGCTGAAGACAGCATTTGGAGGTAGGTGTCAGTAGCACAAAAGGTGCAGCTCTGAGAGGGGACAGGTGAATGGAGAGGGGGGAAGCAGTGCAGGAAAGTGAATCTGCAAACAGCAGGGGCCACCCAGGTAGAGGGCAGTGTCACCAGAGCCAAGAGACAAGACTCGGCTGAGAAGCAGGGGTGAAGCATGAGTGGGCAGGGCACTGCCAGGGCAGGCCCAGGAGAAAAGGTGCAGGAAGGGGCTGGAATGGAGCCAGGGTGGAGACCATCTTAAGAGGGACGGCTGTGCCAGGGGCTGTGCCAGGAGTGGTGGCCTTTGGTGCTTGGGTAATGTGGAGCTCCAGGACCACAGGACTGACTCCTGAGGGGCAGGACATTCACTGTGGGAATGTCAGAGACAAGGCATTAGAGACTCCTCCAGTGTGCACCCACAGGAGGACATAGAATAAAGAGTTCCGTCCACACCATGGAGCATGTTCCATTCTCAGAAAATGAGCTGGGTCTGTATCCCATGAAGGATAGCTCAGATATGCCAGCTTTTTTTTTTTTTTTTTTCTCCATATAATGGAATATTACTCAACTTTTATTTATTTATTTATTTTTTTTTTTATTTATTTTTTTTTTTTCATTTTTCTTTATTATTCATATGTGCATACAAGGCTTGGTTCATTTCTCCCCTGCCCCCACCCCCTCCTTACCACCCACTCCCCCCCTCCCGCTCCCCCCTCAATACCCAGCAGAAACTATTTTGCCCTTATCTCTAATTTTGTTGTAGAGAGAGTATAAGCAATAATAGGAAGGAACAAGGGTTTTGCTGGTTGAGATAAGGATAGCTATACAGGGCATTGACTCACATTGATTTCCTGTGTGGGTGTTACCTTCTAGGTTAATTCTTTTGATCTAACCTTTTCTCTAGTTCCTGGTCCCCTTTTCCTATTGGCCTCAGTTGCTTTAAGGTATCTGCTTTAGTTTCTCTGCGTTAAGGGCAACAAATGCTAGCTAGTTTTTTAGGTGTCTTACCTATCCTCACCCCTCCCTTGTGTGCTCTCGCTTTTATCATGTGCTCATAGTCCAATCCCCTTGTTGTGTTTGCCCTTGATCTAATGTCCACATATAGGGAGAACATACGATTTTTGGTCTTTGGCCAGGCTAACTCACTCAGAATGATGTTCTCCAATTCCATCCATTTACCAGCGAATGATAACATTTCGTTCTTCTTCATGGCTGCATAAAATTCCATTGTGTATAGATACCACATTTTCTTAATCCATTCGTCAGTGCTGGGGCATCTTGGCTGTTTCCATAACTTGGCTATTGTGAATAGTGCCGCAATAAACATGGATGTGCAGGTGCCTCTGGAGTAACAGTCTTTTGGGTATATCCCCAAGAGTGTATTGCTGGATCAAATGGTAAGATCGATGTCCAGCTTTTTAAGTAGCTCCAAATTTTTTCCCAGAGTGGTTGTACTATCTACACTTCCCACACAACGTGTAAATGGTTCCTTTTCTTCCCCGCATCTACACTCCTGGTATTGTGTTATTTGACCTAGATAATGTAAACTGTGAAGATTTTAAACAACGAACAAGTAAAACAGAAAAAACATTGGTTTTAGCGACGGTGGTACACTTCACTGTGTTCAACTCATGCTACTGGCAGAAACTCTGTGCTATGCTTGTTCCCTCCATCCCGTCTGCACACGGATCCAAATGATGGATTCAAGGAAAAGAGGGTAAGACAAAAACTCTGCTCCCCCAAATTCCCACTTGATAGCCAAGGGAGTCTGTGTACTGCAGTTGGGGTTCAGGCAGTTGCTGGAGCAAGTGGGGTTTATGCACTGAGAATTTCCCTTTAAATAATGAGGAATGCCCCCCACCCCTGCTCTCCCCCAAGTGCTTTCATGTGGAACTCATGGGTTTTAGCAACAGCTCCTGAAATGGATCAGGGGAAACCTTGACAGGGCTCTTTTCTGGCCCCAGTACCTCCTGCTAGAAGACCCTTGCAGATAGCTCCCCCTGGACATTTAGAAAATTCACCATTTCCCCAGTGGAGTGAGGCAGGGGTCTACCCTGTCCTCTCCACAAAGAGATAGTAGGTTAAAAAAAAATGGGTTCAGCTGCTAACTAATTTTGGTTCCAATTTTTTTAATAGAAAAAAACAATGTCAAATTAAATTCTCTGCAAGAAAGGTTCCTGATGGAGGTGCCCTCTGGAGGACATGGGCCAGGACCACAGGCGACTGAGCTTCCTCAACCAACACAAACACACAGGCCTGACAGTTCTCCGCAGCCCCACCCCCAACCCACTTGGCTCTTGAGACAAGGTCTTGCTGTGCAGCCCCGGCTACCCTAGGATGTGGGATCCTCCTGTCTCAGCCTCCTGAGTGCTGGGATTACAGATGTGCATCCACTGAAAGAGGTCAAGGGCATGTTAGGCTGCCTGAGAAACCCACAAATACTGAGATCAATTTTTCTGGAGCATTCATTGCTGGAGTAGAAGAAATTGGAAAAAATCCTCTCTGTTACATCCTGAAGGTGTATTTACATGATAACCTGATCTAGGAAACATATCAAGATGAAGGAAGCTGGGCCACCACTATCGTCACATGCATTGAGAAGCCACATACGTCTCAAGGCAAAGCACAGCCGCTGTGAGCTGAATAAATGGCCAAAGCTGTGCCCTGGGACTTCTAACCGTGACGAATCAGCATCAGCCGATCTTCACGGGAAAACTCTTCTTCTTTTACATTTTTATTAGCGTTTAGTGGTACAAAGGGGTTTCACTGTTATGTTTCCATAGATGCATACGATGCACCCTGATCAAATTCACCCCCTCCTCCCACTAAACGTTTCCAACAGGTTGCATCATTCAGTTTTCATACATGGGTGTGAGTACTTTGAACACGTTCACCCCTCACCTTCGCCCACCCTACCCTCACCCCCACACAGAACATGACTTATATTCCTGTCAGTCATTTGTAAGGACTAGGTTCCACATATGAGAACGTGCGTTATTTTGTCTTTCTCAGTTTGGCTTATTTCACTTAACATAATGATCTCTGGTTCCACCCAATTTCCTGCAAATGGGGTAATTTCACTCTTCCTTATGGCTGAGTAATGCTCCATTGTGTGTGCACATACACTTACACATGCCCACTCTTCCTTGAAAACTTTTTCAGTGACTAACTTTGTGACATCTTGGTAAGAGTGACAGAAAGAGAGTGACAAACACACCAGGAGACAGAGGGAGGGAAAGAGACAGAACGAACATTAGGAAATCTCAATGAAAAAAACAGAAGTAAAAGTTCTATTAGTTCATTACTCCCTTTTGTTACACTAGCCTTTCTTCACCTGAACATTCACCTGTAATATTTGACTACAGATATAAAGTCTGATTTTTCTCCAAGCTGAAAAAAAACAAATCCAGGAGTTTACTGCAGGTCAGTCTTTCCTTGCAATTGACCTTTTTTGATTTTCAGAGTCTTATTTTCCTAATCAGTATCTAGCAACACTGAGGGCATTTTAATCAATCTGAGGCTTCTGGTATTAATTTTAGTCAGCTTCTCTGCTTATAAGAGTGCAGACAAGTGACTCCTCATCCGTCAGTCACGAGGAGGTCACTGAGGCTCTCCTTGACTAATAGATTCCTTCCTTATTAAGCATTCATAGACGCCACTGAGCTCTTTCTGCAACAAAACTTTACAAGGAGGAAAAGATACGAGCATCAGAAAACCTAACAGCAGGCATCAGTAACACCTGTAACAACACGTAAGCAC